TCTGAGCTTGACTTTATATGGATGTAGGTCCAACTCTAAGTGCAAAATACGCCGTGATATGCCAGAAAAAAGTAAAAGCTATTGAGAACGCCGAAAAATAGACACATTTGGATCTTCAGTAGAGATATTTGAGGTGGAACGAGCGATGTTGCACAGGTATTACAACATCTGTTACCGATCCAGTCTCTATAAGTTTATTTCTGATTTGAGTAGTTGGACATTTAAATACATCGTAGCTCTCGGCTGAAGCACGAAACGTAACCATGTTTGAATCACCATTTTTGTAGTAGATTTTAATAATTTTAACACATCGAGCGGTTATTATGTGAACTATTTTCATAAATGCCTGACTGTAAGCTAAAACAAAATATTTTTGGTTTGATTGCCTGCCCTGTACTTTTGAAACCACAAAATGGACAACCCTACATTTATATGATAAAGACACTTTACCACATTCCGCTTCACGATATTATTTCACTGAATGACTGTTGTTTACCACTATTTAAGCAACTAAATTTCGTCATACTCGATTATGAATTTTCCTTTCTAAATATTAAAAACACTTATATATATATATATATATTTACCTGGATACCTTGTAGGAAAACATATTACATCAGCTTATGCACTATCAAATATGTATGTATTTTTTTTATATCAGATTCCCTGCAGACTTGGTATTCAATACATTAAGGCTACTTCTAATAAATCTGTTCTTCTTCAGGAAACAGGAGATGTGGCTTAAAGGCCTTAAAGAGTAATTTCTCCCTTATGGAAGGTGGGCTCGAATCATTACCAAAGTACACCAGTAATAACTCTTTTGAAAGCGGCACAAATCGAGACCGACTTTTTTTTTGGTAATATTATGTGATATTAGCGGCTAATCAGTTCGATAAAAATGGCTGCCGCTCTGACTTTTCCTTTTTTTTCACTGCACAACTACGACAGAAACCAACGATATCCCCTGCTGTTCTCTGCATTATCTGCATGTAGGATTATCGGACCCAACTAAATGTGCAAGTCTAAAACCTTAAAATTCCACTAACAAACGATTCGAAGTTAGTGTTAGCTGCTGCAAAATCTTCAAGCCACGCCACATCTGTCAGCTAACCATCGTCTTGATGGTGAACTACCGTCAAGGCACATCACCACAGTAGCATCTGGCAAACACATTCGTAGAACAACCCGAGCTACCTATAGACCTTACAACTACCTACAGACCTCACAACGCTATTCACAGTGATTCTGTCAACAGCACCTTGTATGCGCACTAAAATCTCATCTAATTTCCCATCGTCTGTGGCTTGAATCCGTCAAATCAGCTAATCTGCTGCGCCTACCTTTAGATGAATCTGATGTCATAGACTGATTTTTTCGGCTCCTTGACCGGATTGGGCCAGCCCCAATAACGACTGTAACAATCATAATAAAACCGCCTTATTTTTTTAAGCTAAACGGGGGTTAATTTTTGCTTACTTTATCTTTATTTTATATGATTTTTCGTGTCTTCAAATACCGGAATGTCTTTGTCATACAATTTACTAGCAAGAAAGCGATTAAAAGTCTTATAAATCTTCCCTTTAAGCTTCGTAAGTTGAGAGGATTGCTAAAAATATCCGAGAAGTTCTCTTTTCGAAGTGATTGCTATCGATTTAGATATTAATCAAAAAGGCTGGGAAGTATTTTGCCGATCACGATAGCGTACCTCTGCTCTCTGCAGCTGTAAGCCAGAGTGAAGATTTTGAGGGGGCATGATCAAGAGATCATAGATAGTTCAGCATGATTTGATCTTGAGCCACCGGCATGTGCTGCTCAATCTATCTAAAAAGATCTATCACTGCCAGCAGATTATTAGGGATAGAAGGGTGTTAATGCAATAGTTATTCACTTCTCAGTGCAATTAATTAATACTTGAGTATTTACAAAGAATAACAAGATGAGATAATGATTAATACAGAATCGGTTTAGTTGTTGGTGTGTTAAATGCTCTTCGTTAGTTACTCGAGTATGCGAGTCTATTACTCTCCCACTCATTTCATTTCTTGTTGTGAGTTACACCCTTACTCAATGTAGGAGCAACTCGTACTTTGGCTTCATTCCAACCTCACTTTCTCGGAAGCAGAATAAGAATAATATTTTCCTACACGGTCTTTATTCATACATACATAATGGATTTGCAAAAAAGGGTTGACGCAATATTGCCTTTCAAATTTATTTGTTCCTCAAAACCTACAAAAACCAAAAAAGGATTATTGGAAATTGACACGTAAATTGTGATTTTGGATTTCTTATACATACATACATACATACAAACTCTTGAATCTATTATAATTTAAAGGTTGTTAATATATTGATGACCGAACCGTTGTTGAGCACGTTGTTATTGGTGTAGCTACGACAACATTTCATAGCTTGTGCATCGACTTAAAAACATCAGCAGCTCCATTTTTACGACAGAAATTAATAATAGTTAAGGCAAATTCTCCGTTTCTTCTCCGTTTAATGGCTTTCCTTATTTAGCTTTTCATTTAACTTTTTTTTCTTTTCCTCACTTTTTTCAACCGAACACGAAAGTCTGAAAATGGGGACTCGGTGAAAAGTTTGCGATGTGAAGTAAATGCCGTACATACCTATAAATATATATGTATATGTATAGGTATATGGAAATATAGAAATATATATATGCATACAGGTAAATGATTTATACATAAATGTTGCAATTATGAGCTTGTAAGAGTCGAAGTTTACCTTTAACGAGTACACTGTGACAAAAAGATGTGATACCACTACATAATTGAGTGTAGTTTTGTAAATAAGTTCTGTAGATATCTACAGGTTTTCGAATGCGAGGTGAAAACAGAGGGCTCTCCAAAGAGAAATTTTTTTCAAAATTTTTTAACTTGATTTCAGAAGAACTCTAGCACATGTGGGGTCGGATCATTATTATAAGATCCGTGTACTCTATTGTTCCTTGAGGAAAGTAGTGAGTGCAGATCTAGAGCCAAGTCTACCATTTAATCGGATTTGTTCAATATTCGATTGAATTTCTGATCAGAAATATTTCGTAAGCCCATTTCTTATGGCGTGAGCTTCATGTTTTACCTTTTTTACTGTACCTTACTTAAGTTATTACTCAGAAGGGTGACTATAGGAAAGATGGTATATTTAAGGACATTGGTTCCCTGGACGGCATTATCTGTTCCGCTGAGGTTTTGTCTACACCTGATGGAGCCATTTACTGAAAGGGATTGTGGGAAGAAGAAGATGAGCCTACTTTTATCAACACAAATTCAAGAAATAAGAAGTAAGCCTGGCGCCAACATGTTGATGTTTCCTTGCGGTGTGCCACCGCTGTAGATTGAATACCCCCTACATATCAGTCCTCAATTCATTGCACTGCTTGGGCAGCAATTTAAAAATTAATACAGTTAGTAAATTCTTTTTTTTTATCCACCAAAGACCAAACGACCGAGGGGCGTGCCGGAAAGATAATCGATAAAACTAGCAGACCAGTGACCAAAAAACAATGAGAGTCCGGTTAGCCTTGCATCCGGTAACGATCGCGGAAAGTCGCGGTAACACTTGCCTCTTGCACTAAACAAGTCAGCTGCGGATTTGCTCATCAGCCAATTATGCCCAAAAGGGTTAAGGAAACTACTTAACTCTTTAAAGTTCTCAGTAAATAAAATTTTGCCACCACCCTACTTCTGGTAAACATACGACCTTTCAGAAGTTTGAGGGCAGATTCTTTATATACAAACCGTAGCTGATGTTGTCCCACAGTTGCCAGGGTCTGCCATTGACCATCAACCTTGATAGAATCCAAATACCACCCTGTAGCATGGAGCAGTATCGTTATGAATATAGACCTGTCTGATGATGATATCAGAATAAGGCTCATAATACCATCACTAGACACTATCTCTAGCACTCTGCTGCTCGGTCGACATATTCCCTCCCTGGGTCCCAGCCACGTATGCCGGTCACCTTTGCGTATGACCTTCGGTCCTTCAAAGCTTCCTGACACTATCGGTACTTCATTGGTCATCATCTTTCGTCCCTTACGGAAAGAGTAGGTTTGCTTTTTTTTCACAGGCTTAGTTACTTCAGCAGCGCTCAGCAGTTTTTTGATCTCTGGCGACTAGTTTAAGTTACTGCTGTTTGCCCGCAGCCCTTCAAGCGACACCGCGGCCTTTGTTTTGATGACTTTGACTAACGTGGCTCGCCTGAAAGTCGGAGTTGCGGTTAGATTCCCACTTTCATGGATATCGTAAGGTATACCTTAATAAAGCCGTTGGATTTTTAGAGGATATTCTTCCCCTTCTAAAGAGTCGCTCACTGGAAGACAATTGGGTAACCCTGGCTAATCTTTCTCCCATCTTAACACGGACTTGAGAACGGTTTTGGCTAAGCAACTTAGTAGGAAACAGCAGTTCGCCCCACAACCAGCTCATTTTGAAATAAATCCTTTTCAAAATATCTCGATACTGCCACCGTTTCTGATCTTATATTGATCAATTGAACATTGTTTGTGGAACACTTCATCTGAAAGTGTCCAGCATTCGGTAGACAAAGGCTCATTTGGCTGCATTTTGGCTGCGGGAGCTTCATTCGGCAATGGATAAAAGACAAAAATGATTGCTGCGATCGAGATTATGAAAAGAATAGTATTGCCTTCAAATGGGAGACACAATAAAAAGCAAAGCAGTGCAGCTTGGATGTAGCGTATAGCATATCTGGCAACACTGCGGACGTAATAAATAAGTGAGACCCGCTGGGTCAGTCAACCCAACCTAGGCTAGTTTATTCTTAAATTTATTTTATGATTCATTTTACTAAATTTAAGCTGTTCAAGAGTTTTCAAATTGTTGAGAAGTTTAAAATAAAAAGTTTTGAAAAAAAATTATTTTCCCTCCGTTTTCCCTTTCAATTGTAAATAAATTTCTCTCAGTGCATGCCGCCATGTGAATTCTTATTGACATTTTCTCTTTCTATTTCAGGTCAGAATAATAGGATACGAAAAAGTTTGAGGAATTTCCGTTGTTTTGAATTTATTAAACCTCAGCCAAGGTTACACATCCAAGTGGAACATCGAAACGGATATCAATAAATACATACATACCAGGCAACGGAAATATATACATACATATATGTATACGCTAACTAGTATATAGATTGGCATAAGAAAAAATCTGAACATCAATATATTCATACATATAAATACATATACCGTTAGCAAATCATGTCAGCTAAAAGTCATCCACAAATGGCACCACCGCCACCACCCCCTAAACCAAACAAAACCGGCGCCGCCAACACCGCCACACTATACGAAACCTATGCAGCTAACGGTAATGGCACATACACCGCGAATGGCAACGGAAATGGTAACGGCAGCGCTAGTGGCAGCCGCAGTGGCAGCATATCCTCGTTGACAGACAATCAGGGCAGTTTACAGCGCCACAGTCAGAACGTCAATGGTCGCAGTACGTGTCACACGCCACCGCGCACTGATCGAGAACAGGTCGTAATGACGCCAAAAGGTAAAACAGCCAACAGTACCGTGATACTGATCGAACGGAAATTGGTGGATGAGATAAATGAGCGCGTCCATGTGGCGGGTGGCGATCACACGGGTATTATAATAAATAAGGATACGGTGAGTGGACAGAAGAGTGAGAGTGTGCCGGCACAGTTGTCTTTGGAATTTCGTGTTTTTCTCGTGAGCGCCAATACCGGCAAGCACTCGCAGGAGTCACGTACACTGCGTTTTTGGTTTCGGCAATGGTTGCGCAGTGATGAGAAGCAGGCACAGATTGCACAGGATTTCTTCAAGGAGTTGGTCAGCCCGAAAGATTTTCCAAGAGGTGAGTGGGGCAGAGAGAGAGAGAGACAGAGAAAGAAAGAGAGTGTGTGAGAAGGAGAGAAATAGAGAGAGTGAGATAGAGAGAGTATAGAAGAGAAGGAGCGTGAGTGAGAGAGTGAGAGAAAGAGAGATAGAGTGTGTGAAAATAAGAGAGCAATGTAGTTCAATTTTCAATTGAGTTTAACAAATTTTTTCATAATCTTTTTTTTCAGATTATGTTGGATTCATTAAGAAAATTATGAAATTACTACAACGTGGTTACGATGAGATTCAGTCGTTGGAAATCGAATTGCGCATACTGGAGGAGACAGCCGAGCCACCGTCGCGTCCGCGTAAGTATACTTAGTTAGAAATCTTCAAGAAAGTGCATTAATATTTTTTTAATAGAGTAAATTTCTTATACTCAATGCAAAGTGAGTGAACTCCTGAAGGATCCAAACTCACTCTGGAATCACGTTGACTTTGTTCAAAATATTTGCATTGTGTATATAAAAGTCATATATTTCAAAAACTTATATTTCATAATTTATTCGAGATTTCGTATTTGATTCACAAGAACTGAATTTGATTAATGATTATAATAATATTTCAACTTCTTCTTATGGGTGTGCCAAAGAACAAGTCCAACTAACCAGCACAATAACCCCTGCCTGGCACAAGGAAAAGTTTAATATGAACTTGTCAAACTATGCGTTACCAAAACTATACAAACACATACATACATATGACCGCACATCTTCATTTGTATATAATCCTCTAAACTTATCTATCTCAATTTATAATATTAAATTTTTCGTCTATCTACTTATTTTTCACCTCCTTTTTCTACTGTGGTATCATCGTCCATACGTACGTACATATGTATGTCTATCTACGCTACAATCTCCTTCCTTTCACTATTGTGCAACGTCCAATCATCGAATCAACCGACTCGTCAAACGAAATAATTTCGAATTTGAATTTCGTTTGTTCAGCTCGCGATGGTTATATTATTTATTGTTATGGTGATTGTAATCGTAAATTTGAGGAGGCTCTGCTGGCGCAGCGTAAAACAGGTGATGGCGATGACTTAATGAAAGCCATTTGGCTGGATATGTATAATGAGCAACTAACCAGACGCAAATGATTAAGGCGCATCCGCAAATAAATGCAGTATAACATACCTAAATAATCTTAGTTCAACATGTACTTACAAACAAGGGCTTTTGGTTTATGAAAATTAATTCACTAAAAGGGAAACCCCACAAAAAAAATTGAAATAAAATTCAAAATAAATAAAAAAAAATTAAAAAAAAAAAAACAAATTAAAAAACGTAAAACAAAATTATAAAAATAAATAAAATGAATTAAATATGTATCAAAAAAAAAAAACAAAAAAAAATGACATAAGAAAGGTAAAATAAAATAAAATAAATTAAAATAAAATAATAAAAATAAAAATAAAAATAAAATAATAAAAATAAAAATAAAATAAAGTAAAAAATAATAAAATAAAGAATAAAATTAAATAAAGTAAAAAAAATAAAATAAAAAATAAAAAAAATAAATGAAATGAACAACTTATAATAAAATAAAATAAAAACAGAATAAAATAAAATAAAAATAATGAAAAAAGTGAAATAAATTGGAATAAAATATACTAATATAAAATAAAACAAAATAAGATAGAATAAAATAATGTAATGAAAATAACATTAAATCAAATAATAAAAAAATAAAATAAGCAAAATTAAATTAAACCGAATTGAATTAAATAAAAACAAAATAAAATATAATTAAATTAAAAAGAAAATTAATTAATATAAAATATAATAATATAAAATAAAACAAAAAAGGTGGAATAAAAAAAAGTTCAATAATAAAAATAACACAAAATAGAATAATATAAATAAAATAAAAATGTCATGAAACAAAATAAAATAAAATGAATTTAATTTGTTTAAAATAAAATTAACTAAAAATAAAAAAAATAAAAAAGTAAAATAAAGAGAAATATAATAATAAAACATAATAATAATTAACAAATTAAAATAAAATATAGTAGAAAAGTAACAGAAAACAAAACAAAATAAATTAAAATAAAACAAAATAACTTAAAATAAAGCAAAATTAAACCAAAATAAATTCATATAAAAAGTTTTAATATAAAGTGAAATGAAATGAACTAAGTAATGTAATATATATATATATAAAATTAAGCAAAATATAAAAGGAAAATGAAATAAAGTATAATTAAATAAAATTGAAGGACGAAAATGGAATAAAATACAACAGATAATATAAAATAAAATAAAATAAAATAAAATAAAGTAAAACTTATCAAAAAAATTTAAATAAATAAAAAAAATAAGAAAGCAAAATAAAAAAAATTAAAAACAAACAAAAAAAAAATAAATAAAATAAAATAAATACAACTAAATTAAATTCAATTAAACATAATATTCAAAGAATAAAGCAAAATAATATAAAACAAAATATAGTACAATAAAGTAATAAATATAATAAAACAAAACAAAATAAATAAATGAAAATAAAATAAAATAGAATAATATAAAGTAATAAAAATCACATACATTAACTAAAAATTAAAAAAGCTAAAATTAAATAGAAAAAATTTAATTAAACGAAAATATAAAATTAAGAAAATAAAAAGAATTAAAATACAACAAAATAAAATCCCATTTATACGATGAAATAAAATGAAAATAAAATGAAAAAATAAAGTGGATTAAAATACAACAGCTTAAATAATTTTAATAAAATATTAAAATTAAAAACAAAGTAAAATAAAAGAATGTAAAATAAAATTAAATAAACAAACGCAACAAAATAAAATTGTAATAAAAGAAAATATATATAATATAATTAAAATAGAGTAAAATAAAATAAAACTAAAACGAATAAAAATAAGAATATAAATAAAATAGAATAATTTTTAAACCAGGAAACTTCGAAAGCGTGCTAAATATCTAAAGCGAAATCAAAACCTTAACAAAATCATTGTTATGGCATTCCAAATAACAGAAATTTCACCAAATGGCGAAAATAACAAACAATTTTCGATGTGTTTTTTCTAATCTGATAAGCGTGGTACTCGTTAGCTGATTTTGCATTTGTTTATATGCAAATACATTTACTCCATGGTTACTGATTTTTGTTACTCCATGCGCATACATACTCATTCTCTAATTGCTACCAACAAAAGTTTTATTCCTCATCGATGTTATTTTTTATCGCCCTTTTATATCCTAACTTTTTTTCACGTATATTTTGTTTACATTTGTAAGTCTTTTATGTTGATTTATGTTTATTTACATATTTCACTCGCTCTTTTTATTTTTTTTTTGTGCTTTTATGTCTTCGTTCGCATGTTTTGTTCTGTTCTTTGTTTAATTTATTATGTTCGTTTTTGGTGGTTTTGTTCATTTGCTTGCAACTTATCATCGAAAATCAACTCTGATATATTTACAACAAACATACATACATATGTATATGTATTTTTAAAGTAAGTGTTTTCGTCAATGTTAAATAAAATAAAATAGATTTAATAAAGTGTACGAAAGTTATAGATTTGATGTATGTCTTTTTTTTGGAGTGGAGTGGGAGTCTATAATTGCTGCGTTTTGTTCTTGAAAGCTTTTTGAGAGATCTCAAACCGAACGAACAAATGAAGAAAACACTCTTGAGATTCGATAGAAGTTTACTTTCAGTCATTATATACCAGATGGACCAGATTGTTGGGGCCTAAAAAAATTCAAGTTAAAAAAACACTCCACATTCCTTTGTCACCAACTCCTTTTATTGGAAGATAACTAACAGTTTGATTTTCGGGTGCAAAGAGATACATATATGTATGTAAATCAAGTGTATGTTTCAATGCTTGAATATTTCATATAGCGTAGATCCTGTTGTTGTTGTTGTAGCCGCAAAAATATTCCCCACAGTAGTTTTTGGGAATGTTGTGGTAGTGACAGTCCTTGGCAGGATAAAAAATTCAGGTCGTTCCGGCACAAAGACCGGGAACTATTGGCTTTTTGTCGCCTCTTACCACAGGCATGCCTTACCGCGGGTAAATTTTTGAACCGCTAACCCGCGGGACGGCCTCGGTAGTTAGCATTGCGTATTGCCATTCGGAAGACTCGGCTTTCAAATTCTCGTGCGACCAACATCCAAAAAGTTATAAAAAATTAGTTTAAGTAAGAACTTAAGTTAAATTTTCTAATTACGGTCGCCCCTCGGCTTTTAATGTCAACCCGTCCGAGTGTATTACGGACATGAAATAAAGGCTCCTCGTAAAAAAACCTACAGCCTTTCGGAGACGGCTTAGTATAAAAGTGAAGGTCCTTCCATTTGTTGGAAAAACATCAAGACGCAAAACCATAAATTTGAGGAGGAGCTCGATCGAAAATCGCTTCAGCCGCTAGAAAGCGCCAATTATATAACTAGCAGGGATGAGAACGTAGATCCTCAGTAACTCTGGTTGGAAATCATATCGGGAATAAAACCATATTGGAGCTATTATATTTAGCTAAGGAAATTATAGTTCAAGGAAGACCTTATTTCATTGACATTACCCCAAAGACTGTGGGAGGAATTTTACATTTTTTTTTAATATTCTCGCATGCGATTTTTTCATTTACAAAGCAATTTGCTAACGAGTACCCGTTAAACTGAAGCTATTGGAATTAGAAGCGTTGCGTCCAACAATAAATCTGCTTATAACTCCTCATAACTCGTTCAAAACCTGCCCGCCTTGAAAAATTTGTTGCACTTTAACCCTACAGAAAGGCCATAAACCTTTCCTCTGTACTGCGGCGCCGCATAACTGAACTAATTTATTGCTCCATACTTACTAACGCACAGACATTGGAACACATTTCGCCTATAGACGTACATATGTATGCCCATAAACGTTGTTGCTCATTGACTCACCCGCTGCTGTTTTGCTCCACACAAAGCAATCCGCTCGTAGGGTCACTTTTAACTTCGTTTATTGAATGCAAATTGTCTACTCTAATGAAATTAATAAAACAACGGTTTCGCATGCAATTACAAATATATGTACTTACAGAAAGAGAGAGAATATTTTGTTGTTTTTGGTTGTGTTGTCTTTGGTTTTATATACATTTGCATGTGATTAAAAAATTTATTTTAATTAAATTCAATTTTTTCTCTTTTTTCTCTTATACACACATACATACATACATATGCGGCGGTGTGTATTCCGTGCGAATTTACAGTTTCACTGGAGGAATCACAAATTGAATCTCCACCATTGACGCCGGAAAAGGTGCTCGAGCTAATTGAACAAGCCTATCCAAATCCGATTACACCAGAAGACTTGGCTAAGTATGAGCATGAAATTTAAAAAAAATATATGTATATATATATACGTATAAAACTTAAAATTCTTCTCTACTTCTCTTTACCACTTTGCAGAGATTATGGCTGGGAGGAGCAAGATGTGCTGCTGGTATTCATGTCGCTTAAGGAACGCGGTCTCATCAAATCCATGGAATATAATTCATATACAAGAATACATCACGAAGACAAAGAGATTAAGGTGAGTGTAGGCTTCTCTTCAATTTCCTTCTTGAAATATATATATGATATTGTTTTTTTTTTCCAGGTCGTTAAGCAAATGCCCACCATTGCATCGAATAAACAACCAACAATTGCCATTATAACGGCACAGTATTGTGAGAAGCTCGCTGTGGATGCTATGCTAGAGAATAAGGAGACATTTGTACGCTATACAACAGTTGGTGAGTCTCTGAGTTTTATAGGAATTTTTTTAAGCATTTGTAAGACTTGGTTACATACATACAAACATACATTCTGAAAAATTACTTTATTTATATTTTAATTTAATTGTTAATTTTTAATCAATTTTTTTGATTTAATTTATTAAAGTTTTTATTTTATATTTTTATTTCAATTCATTTTCATTATTATTATTTTTTTTTTACCTTGCATATTTTTTATTCTTTATTCATTTTTGTATAAATTGATTTTTTTTCCAGTTACTTAATGTAATTTTAATTATTTTCTTTACTTTTCTTTACTTAAATACTCTTACAAAAAAATCTTATATATGTTATTTTGTATTAAATATTTTGTGATTTATTTTAATTTATTTCACTTTATTTTATGTTCCTACGCTTTATTTATTTGATTTTGAATTTATATTTATTTTTTTATTTAATATTTTTCAAATTCAATTTTATTCTACTTCATTTACTTGAATTCCACATCTTATTTCATTTAATTTAATTTCGTTTTTTTTTTCATTTTATTTAGTTATTTTTAAATTACGTTTAATTAATTTATTTGTTTTATATAAATTTTATTTTTATTCAATTTAATTTTATTTCGTTTCAATTGGTTTTGTTTTATTTTACTTTATTTTATTTAATTTAGTTTAGTTTAAATTATTTGAATTTAGTTGATTTTAATTGTAATTAATTATATTTTATCATATTTAATTTTATTTAATTTTTTTTGCTCTATGTTATGTTTATTTTTATTTGATTCTAGTTTATTTATTTAGTGCTTTTTAATTTATTTTATTTTGTATTATTTTTTCTTTTATCTTTTATCTGGTTCTGTTTTAATTAATTCGTAATATTTATTTTTCGTAAATATTTTTTTTGGTAAATACTTATTTTTCAACATACTTAAATGATTGAATATATTTTTTTGGTATTATTTTATTTAATATTTTTTTAAATTTATTAAGTTTAATTTTATTTTATGTATTTCGACTTTTTATTTATAAAACAAAGATATTTTATTTGATTTGATTTTATTTCATTCAATTTTGGTTAATTTCTTTTAATTTATTTTAAAATATTGTTATTTCTTTTTATATTATTTTATTATTATAATATTATTTTTCCCTACTTAGTTTTAAATTTCCATCTAGCATGAAAATTCTTGGTCCCGTTTCAGAAATTTCTACTCTTTATTTATTTTATTTTTGTAAATAAACTTCATGATATTTTAATAGATTTTATTTATTAATTTAATTTAATGTTATGCAATTTTACTTTCTATATTTTTATTTATTTCAATTTAGTTAATTTTTTCTAACTTTATTTAGTTATATTTTAAATTGGTTTATATTATATTATTTATGTTATTTTGTTTTATTTTATTTTTTTAACTTTTCATGTTTTATTTTATTACATATCATTATTTTTTACTTTATTTAATATGATTTGAATATAGTATTTATTGATTTATCCTTTATATATATTTTTAATTTATTTGACTTTTTTATGTAATTTTTTTATTTTATTTTGTTATATTTCATATTGGTATATATTATATTGTTTTATGTTAGTTTGTTTTTTTTTATATAATTTTTTTTTAAATTCATATTTTATTATATGTCATTTTTTATTGCATCTTATTATCATTTACTTTGTTTAATTTGTTATTATTCATTAATTATTATTCAGAGTGTATGTAAATTTGTATGTATATCTGCTTTAGTCAAGTTTTCAAATTTTTTCGAAACTCCGGAGTTATTTCATTAATTTGATTTACGCTCAAATAAATTTTTTTCCCTACAACTCAGCAATGAATAATCTCATTTAATCCAGAAATTGGTTTCGAAATACTAACAAATTGCATTAATTGTTCTCTCTCTCTCTTCTTCTCTCCCACCTGAATTGAACTGACTATTTAACGGCGAAATGTTCACTGTCCAAACTTTATTTTTTTGTACCCACATGCAAATGTCTAAAAACAAAAATTGAATTTGGAAAAACTAAAAAAAAAATAAAAATTCTTTTATATCAGATACCGATCCCAATTTAACAAACACGCTCAGAAAAACTAAAAGAAAAAGAAGATTTGGTAAGAAAAAATAAAAAGAAATAATAATAATTTCCTTGTTGTGGTTTATTGTGTTCTTTTGTTGTCCACGTTTGGAATGTCTGGTTCTGGGTAAAATTATTTAATCATTTTAATGCAAAACTGTCTACCAATTTATGTTTTGTATATATTAGAAACATATATATATATATACATAAACACATCTTCGTACATATAAACATGCGTGTTGTGAGTTCTCGTAAACGATATATTTATGTATGTATGTATATAAATCATAAGTGAAAAATTTCGCAAAAAAAAGAAAGCAATTTAAAAAAGTTACAGTTAACCAAATAGCTGTACATAAATATCCAAATGTTTATTTACATATATGCCTGTAAAGTACGTAAGATATCATTGTTCGTACAAATCCACCTTCACAAAATTCAACACATTTTCATTGCCCAAGGAATAACCTCACTCAAACATTTGCCTCAATCGATATTCAGTTTAACCGCTACAAATTTACATATATTTGTTTTAGTTTATTTAAGTTTTTCCTATTTTACAAAATTAAAAAAAATGTTTCTCAAAAAAAAAAAAGCTAAAGCTAACTGACAAAGGTGCGTGACTCTGCTATAAAATTAAAGATGCGCCCAAATGTAGACTATTTTAGCTTTTTAGAATTCGTAAGAGAGCAATTTTGATAATGAGCTTATATTTTATTATTCTTTGCAAAAACAGCTGCAGAAAAATCTTAAGCTTTAAGGGGTGGACATAAAATGAAGCCGTTGAGCTCTGTGCTCCCATTGTTTTACTCATTTTACTAGAATCGTTTGCCAACTCTGATTAATGTTCTTTCATAAGGGACTAATGAATGCTTTCAAGGATCAATAAGTTCAGCTCAGCTGTAGTCTTCTCGAACGAAAACAGATTACGTTCAATACTATTATTAATTTTTGGGAATTGACGGGATAGAATGCCGTCGAATAAATAAAGAGTAGAATTTTGATATTGAACAATCCTTTTTTATTATTATTGTTATAAGTCATTACCAGAAAAAATAGACTCTGCAGATTTCTCTTTTCCTAGTTGCGAGCTTATGAAAGCATTACCAACGCTGGATATTGATCTTGCGTTGTTAGAAGCATTATTAAATCTTTCGAGGAAGAAGAGTCATAACCTTAGCTCGACTGCAGTCCTATGGTATCGGGATTGAGCAACATACGTGTATACCGCATGAGCTTCCTTTTTCATCACAATTTTTTATAGAGGAAGTAGCATAGTACAAATAATTTCCCTATACTCGTGAGCTGCTCAATTCGTGGGCAATAGTGTCTAACGCATACTGAATTATAAAAATCCCATTCGCTTCTTCGACACATTTTACTGTCTTCACTATTAACTTATCTTCAAATCGGCTCCACCATTTTCATTCCTGCTAAGCCAACATTTTAAGACCATCTTACATTTGAGCACTGCAACTCTACGTTCAGTGTGGCCATACTGAAATAATGTACTCTGCATAAAGAATTTTTCATTTTCCAATTGTCAACTGTCAGCTGTCAGTTGCTTTTACTGTTAATAAAAAAAAAACCGATTTCGCTCACTTTGTTGTATTTCCATGAAAATATAAAAGCTGTAAGTAAGCAAACGCAACAACAAAACTCGTCAGATATATCAATCAAATGCTTTCCAGTAAGGCAGTGAGGTTGTTCACTACATTAGATTCACCTGTACTATTTTCACATTTCACATATTTTTCATTACAAATCACTTTTTCACTGTTTTGTTGTAAATTTATCCATATTTTTCACGTCTTTCAATTTACTACCCCAGACAGTTTATATTTATTTATTTGGGTTAACTTTGTTGTTTAGCAGAGAATGAATTTTGTAAGTAATCTTTTCCGCTTTATAATTCCACAGGCGAATCGAATGTTTACACTTTGGGTAATATTGGCGCTCATCGTATTGTCAGCACGAAGTTACCTTCGGTTGGCAGTACACGCGAAGCTATGACCGCTACGGGCAATACAACGACACGTCTACTCGGCACATTCCAAAAGGTCGACTATGTCTTTGTGGTGGGCGTGGCCGGTGGTGTGCCACATTATACGGATTTTAAAAAGCATGTGCGGCTAGGTGATGTGGTCATCTCGTATGTGGATAAACAGCGTGCGTTGTTGAGCAAGTGAGTAAAGAACAAAACAGAGAAAAGGTTCTATAAACACCCTGGAATATTATAAATTATTTAATTTTTTTTTCTTCAATATTTACTTTATACTTCAACTTTGCTAGAAACGAAAAACCCTATGTCTATATCTACAAGAGTGGTGAAGATGTGAAAACCTATTTCCCCATTAACGACTCGCTCCAACAAATCGCCGAAGGCCTGCAAGCTAATATGGAAGTAAAACGTCCTTGGGATACATATCAGCGCGAAGGTTTAGCATCGCTAATGCAGAAAACCGAAAGCGACTTCAATCGTCCCTCCGTCAATACGGATAAGCTTTTCATGAATATTGGCAATAATGAGGTTATCGAGGTAGCACATCCCATAGCCATGGATTCTGTGGATGGTGTGCCACGTTCACGCCTACATCTCGGTCCGATTGGTTCCGGGCGTGATCTGGTGCGTAGCGACAATTCGCGTATGGACTTCGCCAAGAAATATGGTTTACTCGCCACAGATGTGGAGATGAGCTCGGTGCTGGACAGTATCATAGGCAATTGCAGAGAGAGCTTTATATTGGTGAAAGGTGGGTGAAGAAGAAGTGTTAATATGATAACGGTTAAATCTTAAAAATAATATACAACAAGTTTTCGGAATGTCTATAAAAATGGTTTTGAAAAAAAAATTTAATATTAAAAAGAAACTAAAAAAAAAATAATATATTAAGATATTATATATATACATATCAAGATATTATACATATATGTAGAAAAAAATTATGAAAATTTCAAAAAAATTTAAATTGTGAAAAATTTTAATTAAAATAATTAATAGCTATCCAATCTAATTTAAAAAAAATTACTGTAACACATATTTTCGAAACTTTTCAAAATGAGACGTTTGAAAAAAATTATAATTTATTAAAAAATAATTTAAACAAAGAGAAATACAAAACTTTTAAATATAAAAAATTTATTTTAAAAGATGACTAATTAAAATAAGAATAATACTGAAGTTATTAGTGGAAAAAATTAAAAGAAAGGTATCTAAAATTAAAACTAAATAAATAATAAAGAATTATTTAATTTTTAATTTAAAAGTAAGAAAGAAAGGATTTAATAATAAAAAAATAAGTTAAACCAAATTTTAAATTTGTAAAAAAAAAATAATTATAAAAATATTCAAAAAAAAAAAGTTTAAAAAATTTAAAATTAACAAATTTTATTTATTTAATTCACAGGTATTTCCGATTACAAGGACGGCATGTCGACACGGAAATGGCAAAATTACGCTTCGCTGGCAGCAGCAGCTGTTGTCAAGTCGATCATTTGTGGCATGGATGCGCCAACAAATGTTTAATTAACCAGCAATTAATGATTAAGCTAAATTATGTAATATTAAAACTAAAATAATAATAATAAATTTCTATTAATATAGCGCAAAGTAAATTATTTTATAAAGCACATAATTAATAAAAAAATATAATCAATTTGTAAAATATTTAAGTGAATTGAAGAGGAGAGCATTTAGATTTCTTTATACCGACTTGATGAAATGATACATACATAACTTATGTATATACATATGTACGAATTACCATGTTTATTAGATATATACTTACATACCGACAAATATACATAATAATAATATCACGTTTTAAATCTGAAATTGATAAAAGAATTTATAAAGTAATTTCCTTTAATTTCAAAAAATATTTTTTTTTGCAATTTGTATCGGCAATCGAAATGTTTTAATTTGTAAAAAAAAGAACTAAAGAAAATGGTGTCCTTGTTTATTTTTATGTAATAATTTTTGTTATATTTTATCGAATTGTTAATTTTTGTATTATAAATATTTTATTGCAATAAATATTTACACATAGAACACAACAAAGAGCCTTTTTTGCTTACTATATGCTTGTGAGTCAAGATGTAATTAAAAAAAAAATTAGAACGAGTTTGTAAAAATAAAAAATAAAATAAAAAAACTTGAAAGAAAAGCAGTTTTCGGCCATTACAAGCTCTCTTACCTTTCATGACCGCCTAATAATTCTCATAAATCAAAAATTAGTTTTAGGCGCCGTATTCATCATACGCCAAATCTTAGAAAAGACCCGTGAATAGATACATATCACCTTTTCAACGATAGGAAGCTGCTTTCGACAACACAAGAAGGGACTGCCTCTAAGCTGCTATGTCTGAATTTGGTATCCCACCCTCATATATATTGTATACGACTAAGTAAACTGACGCTAAACAACACCAGAAATGCAGTGAAAACTGGAAAGGATCTCCCCGTACAGTACGGTACCAAACGAAGTTTCAGACAGGGCGACTCTTTATCGTGTTATTTCTTCAATTTGATGCTGGAGAAAATTATAAGAACTGCAGAGCTAAATAGAAAAGCTACAATCTTCTATAAGAGTGTACAACTGCTGGCGTACGCAGCGGATACTTTAATCATTAAATAATCGTTTAAATGTGCCAGTATATCGGTTGAAATATGTAAAAAAGACTCAGGGAATAGTTTGCGTTCGAACAATGGGACACAGATGAATATGAATAAATCAACTCAATACGCCATTCTAATCCAATCGGTATAAATTTTGAAATTATAGAACTTCTTAGTTGAGCCTTTTTTACATTTCACCAACGATGTTTCCCAACATTTGATGTCTAAAAAGCTCAATTTTTTTGGTTCGAGACTTAAATAAAATGCGCTTAGCAATAAGCTTATGACATAACGTTTGTTGCCATGAAAGCTTTTGTTGACCAAATTAAGCTCAATTTATTTAATGTTCCAACTGAGTGATTAGTCATAAATAAACATCGCTTAAATTTAAAGAAATTTCATGAAACAAGTTGTTGTTATAAATTGATTTTTCTTTTACCGCTTAAGAGTTACGTTGGCAATAATTTCTATCAAAAATATTCAAACCTTTCTTATTACTGAAAATATGTCATTCAGTTTTAGTCGCCCCTTCCGACTTCCACCTATTCCGTTCTATGGCACACGGTCTGGCAGATCAACATTTTCAATCCTTCGAAGAATTGGAAAAATGGATTGCTTCATGGATAGCGTCAAAAGAGGACTCCTTTTTTTCGAGCCGAGATCCGAAAATTGCCGGAAAGATGGGAGAAAGTTGTCGCTAGCGAAGGACAATACTTTGGATAATATATCTGTAAGCACTTTTTCGCAATGAAGCTTTCAATTTTGGAAGGCGGAAGCAAAGTTGTACACCTGATACAATTACTTTTTTTCTTTTGTTTAAAATTAATGGGCAAACTAAGCCTTTTTATAAGGCATAATAATGTTTTAATCGCCTCCTCCAAAAATATTAACTGCTTTACGTTGCCACCAAACGTGGTTAAAAAAAAGGGAACTTAATTGCTTTCAGCGGAGACCTTGAGGTTGATTTTAGCAGCCTACAAAGAGTTATTTCCTTTTCTTTTATATGTAGCATTGTTTTTCCTTTATATTTGAATATATTTCATGTTATCGATAAATTAAAAGCTCGATTGTAGCACAGAAACTCGCCAGAAAACCAGCTTTCTGAGGATTATTTAGTGGTGTTACTGCTTCAAAAATCGGACTATCTTATTAATTTCTATAACACCCCGAGAATATTTTACAAAATTTCCAAGAAAAACTGAATAAAAGTTTCGGCGATATAGCTTTTGGGAAGTGCGCGCTCGAAGGTAGGTATACAGGGCGCTTTAAACTTTAAACGCGTTTCCCTCGAAAGTGGGTGGTCAATGTCGGTTGTCAAAAGTTTTCGAAAACTACTCAGCCGATCTTGGTGATGTTTTACTCAGGTCTTCAAGACACAAATCACAAGCAAAATATTTTTTTCTTTTAGCCACATCTACTAAAAAAAAAAATGTTAGGCAAATTTTGCCAACAACTTTCATTTTTTTTGTAAGCAAAATCTCCTTAAAATCCCATTTACGCTTTACTTATTTTGTTCTGACCAAACTCTAGTTTATGGTATTACGTAATTAATTAATTATTTTACTACGGTTGATCTTGTCATGGGGTCCACTGCGAACGCATACGCTTTTTTCAGGGATCACCGAAAACGAATTTACAATGCCTGAGCTTTGAATATTTTCCATTGGAAATTTAAGAAATTTGTAAATAATTTGTGTAAAATATTTTATTTTTTACATGAAAAAAATATGGTTGAAAATATACCTATTCTCCCCGCATATACTTATATGTATAACCGCGTAACGTGCTTTTTAAGTTTGCGAAGAGTACGTAAAAGCGTAAGAGTTTTCAGTTGATATCCGCGTTGGCGCTACAGGAAGCGGAGAATTAAATTTCCAGCGCTTTTAAAGATTGACAACTTCTATGGCTTCCTTATACCGCGATAAAACTCTCTAAAATAGCTAAAAATTATCGAATATTTCTCTATATATTCAATAAAATATAAACATCAGTCTTAAATATTCGTTGAAAATATATTAGAAAAAATATTTATTTGAGCCTTGAACCGCTTATAAAGAATTAAATTTGCTTTGTTTGTCATTTAGAAATATTTCAATATTTTTCAATACACCGTTTCAAAAACACTGTACCATACACTCTTACAACTTGTTGATATTTATTTTCTCATTTACTTAGCTCCTCATTATACAGTTACTCAACCCAACACCACTGCCACCACCACCCATTTGAATTGCTGGCAAGAATTTTCCGCAGAGAACGCGCCCAACAGTTTTGAGAAATAAAGAGAGCGTTTCCGCGGTTTGTATGGATTTGAAAATGCCGGTCTCATTGGTGTTGCGAGTAGAGTCAATACAATTTACTGGAACTTGCTAGACGGGTTATGGATGAACATACATACGTTTAGTGGAATTTATAATTGCCATTTATTTTGGTATTTAAAAAATTTTTGCTGGATTTTTGTGCAATAAGAAAAATCGATTTTCACGAATTTTTTTTCCAATTTGGAGTAGCTGAAAAGAGGGTTTTAAATTTTGTATGGAGAAATTTCTTTAGGGTTTCAACGATTCTTGACTTTTTTCGTAAATATGTATGTACATATATTAAAATTTTAGCAAGTAGTGATGAAAAAAAATATTAAGACTTCTGTTCAATGCTCCAAAAAATTGGAAAAAAAATTCTTGAGCTCTTTATACACATAATTTCTAATTTTTTATTTATTTTATTTAAAACAGAAAAATATAAGATATTTTCTCAAAATCTGTACAAAACCGATTAAAGTGTAATCTTTCTTTATTGTAGTTTTTATATGAACTCCACATTAATTACTCGTTCATCAATCAGATGAAACAACAAAGCGAAGTTAAATGGTAAATAATTGTTTATTCAACATTCCTTTGTAAACTTTATAAAAAAATTATCAGTTCTGTTTTATTTTTAAAAATTATTATTTTTTTTTATGTAATTTAGATATTATGGAATTTTAGTATTACAGTTCCATTAAAATCTCACTTCTAAATAAATAATGAGCTTTGTTTTGGTTTAAACTTATTTTATGGTTATTAAATAGTATCTCATAGTAACATTCCAATAGAATTTTGGTTATTTTCTTCAAGTCTTCTGGCAACTCTGTCTCACTAAGCTTTGTCTCTTTGGCCTCCGGTTGGTCTCTGGGCGCTGGTCTACAGAAATTCAGTCGTGTGCTAGCGACCAATCGTGAAGGTAGTCTTTTCCTTCTCCAGTACGGTTGTGTTCTATAGAGATAGCAAAAGCCACGTGGAAATTTGAAAAAGTTGCAAGAAATCGTATTTCCGCTGCATTTTGTTTACAATACAAACAGACAGAGTGAGTGATAAGTGATAAGAAAATTAACTAAGGATTTAGTAATACATTTTAGTTGGAAATTGAAAGGGAAAAAGTCGAAACTTTCCACCTGCCCGCATATACATACATACATACATACAAATGAATGTAGTGCGGTATAGAAGTCTAAGCAGATATGTACAAATATGTATATGTAAGTGTAGAGTTGTGTGTCCATTTGATGAGATACATGTGGCACATGGATTGACGTAAAAATTGAAGTTCTAATAAATTCTAGTTTATTTTCAAGAAATTTAATGTAAAAAAAGTACTTGAGTATAGTTTAAATTAAAAAATATGGCAAATTTCATAATTTATATATTTTTTCTTAAGTTAATATGTAAATTTTAAAACAATTTTAATGTATGGATGCATGGAAGTATATATATATATGTAATATATACATTAGTTTCCTTGCTTAAAGCCTAATAACCGGTTCATTTGGTAATGGAATATACAAACTTACCAACATACATATGTACATCCATATGTATAATATGTACATCGGCCTCTAACTTCATGTGCCTGTTAAAGCGACTGAGATTTTTCTTTAAACTTCCATTGCCCACCTATTTACCAACATACATACATACATATGAACACACGTTTGTTTGCACATTTGTAAAATTTGTTTAAAATCACATTAAATTGTAAACATATTTGCAAGTATGTAAGTAATATTTAAAATGCGTTATAAAATCTTTCTTTGTGCGATAAAAGAGAATCGAGAAAATTGCATGTAAACAAGCATTGTAATTGAAGTGACCAAGTATTTGCCGACTGTTGGCTGGTGGTGTGACTCGTTATGCCGCATTTCCAAGCTAAATTGCTATACACTTTTATACATACGTGTTATAAAGACAAACTAACATACATATATGTACGTGTATGTGATTGCATATGAGCGCGAATTTTATGTCGTTTGATTTTTGTTAATGACATACATACACGTATCTGTTTAAAACGAGTTGAAAGTCCTCAGGCGCCCAGCATTTTATATGAAAGTTTAAGTAAATAGCGCGAGTGATATTTGATTATGATTTACCACTAAAAAAGAATCTTAAACTTACTGAAAATTTGATAGTGAACTACATTAGTTGGAAGTTATTTGATAATGATAAATAACGTAAATTACACAAAATGATATAACTAACATAAAGTGAGAAAAACAAAATGTAAAACTAAATAAAATACAAAATCTGATATCAAATAAAATAAACAAAAATAAACAGAATAAAATTAAATTATTAAAAAAATTATTAAAATAAAATGAAAGCATAATAAATTAAAAGAGAAAATTATAATACAGTAACATTCATTAAAATAAAATAAAATGCAATAAAACAAAAGATAATGAAAATATAAATAAAAAAAAATGAAAAAAAAATTAATTTAAACACAATAAAACATAAGATAACAAATATATAAATTAATTAAAATAAATAAACAAAACTAATATCAAATGGAAAATAATAAAATAAAGTAAAAGCAAATGAATGAAAAACTGAAATAAGGTAACATTAATTAAAATAAAATACAATAAAACAAAAGAAAATAAAGAAAAATAAATAAAATAAAGAAAATTAAAATAAAATGAAGAAAAATAAAATAAGGTAGAAATAAATTAAAATAATCAAATTAATCAAATAAAAATATATATGTCAATAAATAAAAACAACCAATATAATTAAATAATAAATGAATTAATAAAATTATGCAAAAGAAAATAAAGAAACATAAATAAAATAAAGAAAAATAAAATAAAATGAAGAAAAATAAAATAAAGTAAAAATAAATAAAATAAATTAACATAATCAAATTAATCAAATAAAAATATATATATGAAAATAAATAAAAACAACCAATATAATTAAATAATAAATGAATTAATAAACTAAAATAAAGTAAAACAAAAAAAATAAAGTAAACTAATTAATAATTAAGTAAATAAAATAAAGGAAAATAACAAAAGTAAAAGTAATATAATTAAAAATAATATATAAATAAAATAAAATATAATAAAACAACATAAAATTAAAACTGTTCAAAGTAACATAATTAATTTGGAAGGCTCGAGCTCGAATCCTGGTACGGTCAAAATCCAAAAGTTATAGAAAATTAATTTAAATAAAAAATTAAGCTAAATTTCCTAAATGCGGTCGCTCCTCGGCAGGGAATGTCAACCCATACGAGTGTATTTTTGACATGAAATAAGGCTCCTCATATGAAAAACGAGCAGACGTTTGTTGGAAAAACATCAAGACGCAAGACCACAAATTGAATGAGGAGCTTGGCCGAAATACCGACAGTAAAATGAAATTGATTAAAATAAATAATGTTAAAACAAAATAATATATTTTATAAAATTAAATTATTGGAGCAAAATCGACTATATAAAAATAATATAAAATATATTAAAATATAAAGCAAATTAATATAATATGAAATATTGTATAAAAATAAAAAAAATTAATAAAATCCAACAATATTTATTTACAAGAAGATCAAAAAATATTATTAATATTAAATAAATAAATATAATGAATATGCAAATTAAAGAAGAGTAAATAAAAAGCAATAATGTAAAAAAATAAATAATACAAAAAGAATAAAAAATTAAGTGAAATAATATATGATACGAATAGAATTAAATTATATAAAACAATCTAAATTAATTTAAATCAAAAAAGTATTATTGCAGTATACAAAAAAATATGATGAATAAAAATAAAATGATTAAATTAAAATCAAATAAATAAAAAATAATATAAAATAAATGAAAACGATATTAAAATAAAAAACAAATAATTAAAAAAATTGAAATAAATTAAAACTGTATGGAAATCAAAACAAAAAATAAAATTAAAATTGAAATTTAACAAAATAATGTTAAATAATAAATTATATATGTATAACCAAATAAAATTGTATAAGTTATAGTATAAAAAATAAAAAAATAATAATTTACAAAAATAAAATAATTTACGGAAATCAATTAAATAAAAAATAATATAAAGCAAAACGGAATAAAAAATTAAATAAAATAAAACAAAAAAATAAAATTATACAAAAAAAATATAATAAAAAAATAAGTAAATAAATATAACTTAATCAAATTAAATACATTCAAAAATTAATTAATACCATACATTCCTACTTTATACCAATTAATATTAGTAATAATCATAATAAAATGAATAAAAAAGGCAACCCTTAATCTTATTTATTACCCGCACCAACAAAAAATCGCAAATTACGCATTGATTTGATAATAAAAGTGTTCCAGACTTATTTAATTCTGCTACATACATAGGATACATACATGTATGTGTGTCCAGGTGTACACCTTTCTATGCATACAATGTATACTTGATTAATATATAAATAGCAATTAGCATGCTAATCAAATATGCGTAGGCCGCAACGCCATTGCCACCATCATAATAACCATGGCTTTACTCTTATCGCGTGCTGCCTATACATACATACACGTATGTATATTCTTACAGCCATAGGCATATACATACATACATGGTACGAGTATACGAGTATTTATATCTCTTCCTCATCAAGACTCTGCACATTTACTACTCAACTATCCGGAGAGAGCTAGATAATTTTCACTATCCACTGTATTTACAAAGCTCTCCCTTGAAATGGAAAAAATAAATAAAAATCTGTCAGTCTAAACAAATTTGTGATAAGACAAGTTTTGGGAGCTCTCGAGTATCTTGACTCTTCAACTATGTTTGTGTGCTGTACATACATGTATGTGTGTGCGAGAATGGTCAGTTAGGTAAACACGTGCTTTCAGAGAGACATAAACAATGAGATACATAATTCTACAACGTAGGCTATAGCGCAATTCTCAATTCTTGCCAAACATGTATACCCTTCATAGTTGAAAAACAAAATATATTGTACCTATAAATTTTAGCAGGATTTTCGCAAAAATAACCAAATTCGAATATCTTCTCGCTTTTTAACATTTTGTGTTCATTGTTTTTTGATGTCCCATTGGATAAAGCTTATTATTATTATTTATTATTCTTCTCATTAGACTTTCAGCTCTTGTCTAAGCAACAATAACAACAAAAACAACAACAACAATGAAGTCACCAAACTGCTATTTAGTGCTGGAAGACAACACCATATTGCCCGGACATGCCTTTGGTGCCCGAGCGCCCGTTGATGGTGAAGTTGTCTTCCAAACCGGCATGGTTGGTTATCCCGAATCGATGACGGATCGTTCATATCGTGCACAAATATTAGTACTAACCTATCCGTTGATCGGCAATTATGGTGTACCGGATGAGAAAGAGTTGGATGTGCATGGGCTGCCGGTGAATTTCGAATGGTTCGAGGGCATAACGCTGGCTGCCTTGGTGGTGGGTGAAGTGTGTGAAACTCCTTCACATTGGCGTGCCAAACAGACACTCTCCTCCTGGATGGAGGGTCACGGGGTGCCGGGCATTAGTGGCATAGATACGCGTGCGCTTACAAAGAAGATACGTGAAAATGGTTCCATATTGGGACGTATAGTCTACGAGGAGCCAGAGGTTTTAGGCGGTTTTACCTTCGCCGATCCGAACTTGAGAAATTTGGTGGCAGAGTGCTCCGTAACGGAACCACGCGTTTTTAATGCCACCGGCACACCACGTATTTGCGCCATCGATTGTGGTTTGAAGTTAAATCAAATTAAGTGCTTCGTGTCACGAGGCGCACGCGTCGATTTGGTACCGTGGAATTATACTCTAAAGGAGGAAGAGTTTGATGGGCTCTTCATTAGTAATGGACCAGGTGATCCAGTCGTGTGCAAGGAGACAGTTGTGCAGATACAAAAGGTTTTGAAAACTGGCAAGAAGCCTGTCTTTGGTATTTGTCTGGGTCATCAGTTGCTCGCCACCGCGATTGGTTGTAAGACGTACAAAATGAAATATGGCAACCGTGGCCACAATCTGCCTTGCGTACACAATGGCACTGGACGTTGTTTCATGACCTCGCAGAATCATGGTTTCGCAGTGGATAGTAACACTTTGCCGGCTGAGTGGGAGCCACTCTTCACCAACGCCAACGATCATACAAATGAAGGTAGTTGAAATATTTTTGATTAGCTATTTTCTTACTTTTAATAAAACTATTATTTTCTATAGGCATCATACACACCAGCAAACCATACTTCTCAGTGCAATTCCATCCTGAACATACCGCCGGTCCTGAAGACTTGGAGTTACTCTTCGACATCTTTCTCGAAGCGGTCAAGCAAACGGCCGGCGGCTTGAGCTTACGTCAGAATTTGATCAAACGTCTTACGTATGTGCCCAAAGCGGACACAATACCCGATAAGCGTCCACGGAAAGTGCTAATTTTGGGTTCAGGCGGTCTCTCAATCGGTCAAGCAGGTGAATTCGATTATTCCGGCGCGCAGGCCATCAAAGCAATGAAAGAGGAGAAAATACAAACAGTTTTGATCAACCCAAATATTGCCACCGTACAAACCTCTAAGGGTTTGGCCGACAAGTGTTACTTCCTGCCCCTAACACCGGATTATGTGGAGCAGGTTATACAAGCTGAGCGCCCCACTGGCGTACTGCTCACATTCGGCGGTCAAACCGCGCTCAATTGTGGCGTTGAGTTGGAGCGTGCAGGGGTCTTTGAGCGGTATAACGTACAAATTTTGGGCACTCCTATACAATCGATCATCGAAACTGAGGACCGTAAGATTTTCGCAGACCGCGTTGCCGAAATCGGTGAATGTGTAGCGCCCTCGGAAGCTGTATACTCTGTGGAAGAAGCCCTAGGGGCAGCTAAGCGTTTGGGTTATCCCGTTATGGCACGTGCGGCATTCTCCTTGGGTGGTTTGGGTTCAGGTTTCGCCGATAACGAACGCGAATTGGAAATACTGGCGCATCAAGCTTTGGCGCACTCGAGCCAATTGATTATTGATAAGTCCCTTAAAGGCTGGAAAGAGGTTGAGTATGAGGTGGTGCGTGATGCCTACGATAACTGCATAACGGTTTGCAATATGGAAAATCTCGATCCTTTGGGCATACACACGGGCGAGAGTATTGTCGTTGCGCCATCTCAGACGCTCTCCAACAGAGAGTACAATATGTTGCGTAGCACTGCCCTAAAAGTGATACGACACTTCGGTGTGGTCGGCGAGTGTAATATACAATATGCATTAAATCCACATTCCGAAGAGTACTACATAATTGAGGTGAATGCGCGTCTCTCACGCAGCTCTGCTTTGGCTAGTAAGGCGACTGGCTATCCCTTAGCATACGTCGCAGCCAAGTTGGCTTTGGGTGTCTCGCTGCCCTCGATTAAGAATTCAGTTACTGGTGTGACTACTGCATGCTTCGAGCCCAGCCTGGATTATTGTGTGGTCAAGATACCTCGTTGGGATTTGGCGAAGTTCATACGCGTCAGCAAGAATATCGGCAGCTCAATGAAGAGTGTGGGTGAGGTAATGGCTATCGGACGCAACTTTGAGGAGGCCTTCCAGAAGGCGTTGCGTATGGTTGATGGCGCAGTTAATGGTTTCGATCCCGATCAGCATCCATTGTGTAAGGAAGAGCTCACCGAGCCCACCGACAAACGACCTTTTGTCCTAGCCGCCGCGCTGAAAGCTAATTATGGCGTTGAAGAGTTGCATCAGCTCACCAAAATCGACAGATGGTTCTTGAATAAGATGAAGCACATTATAGAGTTTCACAATAATTTAGAAGAGATCGGTAATACGCTCTCGGCCGCACAAATCGTGTATGCAAAACAAATTGGTTTCTCCGATAAGCAAATTGCAGCTGCCATTAAGAGCACCGAGTTAGCGGTGCGCAAGCAACGACAAGAGCTGGGCATCAAACCTTACGTTAAGCAAATAGATACCGTCGCCGGCGAGTGGCCCGCTGCCACCAATTACCTCTATCTCACTTACAATGCCAACGAACATGACTTGGACTTCCCCGGCGGTTTCACAATTGTAGTCGGCTCGGGCGTCTATCGCATTGGCTCATCGGTCGAGTTCGATTGGTGTGCGGTGGGTTGCTTGCGTGAGCTACGTAATCTCGGCAGACCCACAATAATGATCAACTACAACCCCGAGACGGTATCTACCGATTACGATATGTGCGATCGTCTGTACTTTGAGGAAATATCCTTTGAGGTCGTTATGGATGTTTATGAAATTGAAAACTCTGATGGCATCATACTCTCAATGGGTGGCCAGTTGCCGAATAATATTGCAATGGATCTACATCGCCAACAAGCCAAAGTGCTCGGCACATCCCCCGAATCAATCGATAGCGCTGAGAACCGCTTCAAATTCTCTCGTATGTTGGATCGCAAGGGCATATTGCAACCACGTTGGAAGGAATTGACGAATTTAAAGAGCGCTATTGAATTCTGTGAAGAAGCCGGCTACCCATGTTTGGTGCGCCCATCATATGTGCTCTCCGGTGCGGCTATGAATGTTGCTTACTCTAATCAGGATCTGGAGACTTACCTTAATGCCGCGTCTTTGGTGAGCAAGGAACATCCTGTGGTTATTTCAAAATTCTTAACGGAGGCAAAAGAAATTGATGTGGACGCTGTCGCAGCTGATGGTGAGATATTGTGTATGGCTGTTTCCGAGCATGTTGAAAATGCTGGCGTACATTCCGGCGATGCCACTTTGGTCACACCACCACAAGATTTGAATCAGGAGACACTCGAAACTATTAAGCGTATAACACGCGATTTGGCTGCGTTGCTCGATGTCACTGGTCCCTTCAACATGCAATTGATTGCCAAGAATAACGAGCTTAAGGTGATCGAATGCAATGTGCGTGTCTCACGTTCCTTCCCGTTCGTCTCGAAGACTTTGGATCATGATTTTGTGGCGACCGCAACACGCGCTATTATTGGCGTTGAGACAGAACCCGTGGATGTGTTGCATGGTGTGGGTAAGGTCGGTGTGAAAGTGCCACAGTTCAGTTTCTCGCGTTTGGCCGGCGCCGATGTACAGTTGGGCGTAGAAATGGCTTCCACCGGCGAGGTAGCGTGCTTTGGCGACAATCGTTACGAGGCATATTTGAAGGCAATGATGTCTACCGGCTTTCAAATTCCGAAAAAAGCTATTCTCCTCTCTATCGGCAGCTTTAAGGTAATACAACCGTTGAGTTCGTTAGCTCTCGAGCAGCTCATCAATTTTATAATATATATTTTGTTTTAGCACAAAATGGAATTGTTATCTTCCATCCGAGATTTGGCAAAGATGGGCTATAAACTTTACGCTTCTATGGGTACGGGCGATTTTTATGCGGAACACGGCGTCGATGTGAGTTGAAGTTTCTGTAAAATTGTTTTTGATTTTAATTTCATAGTAGCTTCTCTAACACCTTTCTCGTTTAGTAGAATATAAACGAGTTTTTAGCGATACCCATTCCTAGCTTCTTTCATGATAGTTCAAATGCATATACTTTAGATGGACTTGGCACCTTACTCCGACTAACTTCTTTATACTTTTCGAACAGTGAAAAACGTGAAAAATGTTTGCAAGCTCGAAAACTTCTGATATGCGCCGAATTTGAACTCTTTGAACGTTTGGGCATTGTCGGTCGGTTCTTCGACCTCTCTCTTTTTTCATTTATTCAATGGTGTCTCGCTTCTTTTATCAACGGTATCGTTATCTAAGCCACAAAGTACGCGTCGACCGACACGTGGCCAGATAGACAGTTTTTTTCCTCCCACCACTTCAGCGCGACAGCCCACTTTGTACCAGCTCTTCTTTCGACCTTAGCCGAAGACCAATGGTTGCGGCTAAACGTAGGTAGGTGTAGGTAGATAGATTAAAATCGATCGAGAACGGAAGTGCAAGTTGCTTTGAAACTCCTTCGTTTATCGTCTGGTGGTTGCTGATCCACGACAATCAACCTTTCTTGTGAAAGACAGATAACAGATCATCTTCTTCGCTTCCGTTTGTTTCATTATCCATTTGCTCTATTTGACCGCTGTAGGAGATTCCACAACGTCCAACTTTCTGGCTTCGTCACTGAGCCGATCGCACTTCTTAACAAACACAGCTGGCCACAGCAGCAGTTTCTCAATTAAAAACTCGCACATTTCAAATGCAGGCACTCGAATCGGAATTCCTCAACCGTTTACAGGCGTCGTCATCAAATACTTGGCCTATTTCCTTAGATGCTTGATGCAGAGGGTACTTGATCTTAGACCGCAACAATACAGGACCCCATTCCAAATCCCAACCTGGCTCATGTCCACACTGTACGCGAAAACTTCAGGAGAAGTGGGTTAACTTATCAATATGATTTTATTTGGCTTCACTCTCTAGATACACATAAATATACAAAAATATAATTACAAAAAATATCTTTTCATTAAAATGTCACGTCTCCGAGCTTTGATTAAATGCGCCCTTTAGTTGAAGTGTTTTCTGTTTGATTGTTTCCTTCAGCTGCGCGCGCATCTCTTCCGAAGCCATTCTAACGAGTAGTTTTTCCGTTGATGATGTAATATCCTTCAGTAGTTGCGAATTGCCGAGTGGTAGGCTGCGCAACATGTTAGCTTTTTTCGCAAATCCAACGCGACCCTCAAGCTCTTCAGGCATTTTGGTTTCATTACCTGCAGAGCTAACAACTGCTTTTGTCTGTACCAAACGAGCTCTGTCATCCTTCTCGTCTGTTATACCACTTTCGTTGCTATGTTTTGTTGTTGCATTATTGGTGTGATATTCATTCGGCATTTCATAGTTCTCATAGACTTCTTCTGCATCACAAATCTCTGTTACTTCATCGTTGAAACGTAAAGTTCCTACCAAGCTTTGACTTTCCAGCTTGGATAGCGGATTTGTATCGCCCTGGTGCGCTTCGGCAACTTGTTCAATGAATTTAATTGACTTATGTGGTTCCATGCTGGGTGTTAGATTATCGTATAATTCTTGCCTTCTTTCAAGCACATATTCTTCGTCGCTTTTAGACAATGGATTGTCAAATTCTTTACCTTTACACTTCTCTTGTTCACTGCACGTTGTCTCCACACTTACTCTGACTGCTCGACGCACGCTCTCTAAGTGCTCGAATACTTCTTTTCTAACTTTCGCTTTCATGCCGGTCTCCACGCTTGTACGTATCGGTAGCGTGGGTGGTAAATGCGTAAATTCATCGTTTGTCTGCAGGCCAGAGATCTCCTCCTCCATGCTATCGATTGTGCTGAGATACTCTTTCGCACCCATATCACAGCCATAGTTATTGTAGAATTTACAGAGGCGTCTCGCTTGTACCAAGAAGGATTTTGCCAAATATAAGACACGAAAGTTGATGGCTTTCTCAGTCATTGCTATAAGATGATCTATGAATGTTTCGAGTATATTTGTACGTCTCAAGTTTTCAACACCCTGATTTAGTTGCTTGAGTTGAGAGTTTTTGAGATTACGTCGGAAAAAGAACTGCGTGAAAGAGAAGTGAAAATAGATTATTTTGTATTAGTTCGGATTGACAACACACAGCCGAATGAAGACTTTCAATATGCGCAGGTTAAAATCTACTGAGCAGTTTGGTTAAGCTTTGGAGAAAGACCTATAGTCCAATAGAGCTTCTAAGTATTACATGAATCTTATAGACAAATTCCACCGGCTTTCATTAATACCTAGAAAGTGTAGTCGAGTTTGGCTTGACTATCCAGCTGAGAATGTTAAACCTTTCCGTCTTACTACCTCTGTTAAAAGCTGAACCTCATAATCGGTTTTCACAAAACGAAATAGTCCCTGAGATTGTCAAAAGTGTCATATGAAAATTTAGTAAAAGCTCTGTACAATGAAGCTTCCAAAAGGTCCGGAAGACGATGAAACAGAAGAAACGGATTGCCTTACAGGCAACCAAGAATTCCAAGATTCTGTTTAAGGGCAATGAAGCAAAACTCACACATTTTATCCTTACAAACGGCGGTCTCGGAAGGACTTCAAGAGGGTTATTGGGCTAGAAATAGGGCACAACCAATTGGCATCAAAAACGATTAGAATGGGCCTTAGGAACGCTAGAACACCTCCACTACTTATGTCCTACTTTATCCAGAACTTCACAGCTCAGAGGATTATATGAAGTAACAGAATTGGTTATCATAAACTTTGTGAAAAGAGTTGACAACCTACACGACGAGTACTTTAGCTCGACGAGTTCTAAATGGAGCCTCCATCTTCTACTGCAAAGTACCAGCAGGTCTGCATAAGGCGTTACAGCCAGCCAATATATAACAACCAAGCTCGTAAGCTCACTTAGGCATTTTCCAGTTAGAATGAATGACTAAAAATACTGACTGCGGTGGGCACAAGTTTTATCTGTCACTAAGAAGAACTCCCACTTCTCTTATTAAATTTCAGTGCTTGCTTAAAGATCGTACAACTATTTAGCGCAATCTGTGCCACCTACCTCTACATCTATGGACTCCACAGAAAGCCGTCGCCGTTCATAGTCCAACTTCTTCTTCATTTCGATTTTGTGCCGCATCACATGGGTCTTGCGTCTCAATTTCCCATTAGTCTTCTCACGATGTTGCTTCATGCCTACCAAACCCTTTGCACCATCATCTTGCATCAGCGCCGGCGCATCATCCAGCGTTTCCAAGCCCACAAGACTGCGCGAATTTTTTGCTTTCATTTTCAACCTCAGCATATTATTCTCAGAGAGATTCTCAAATATATTTTTGTAATTCAATTTCGGAAAAAAATCCTCTGCGAAGTCCAAATTTTTGAGTGCCACCATGAGATGCATCAGCGGATTCGCAACGATGTCTGCCAAAATTGAGAATAATGTGACCAAGGAGTACTCGGGTATACTCTCGAAGAGATTGCGTTCTTCGATGAAGAAATCTCTCAAACACTTCTCACGCAAACGTTGCATAAATGTGCTTATAAAACGCAGCAGCACCTCGCCCAGGTACTCTTCGGGCCAAGCAGTGAAGTTGCGCTCACATTCCCAAAATAAATGCATGCGCAAATGATCTATTGTGAATGTGAGCGCTTTATTACGCTCTTGGGGTTCTACAAAAGTCTTCACCAAAGCTTTGGTCATCATGAACACTTTGACTTGTGTGTGCGTTAGGTGTTGTTCCAAGTAGCGTTCGGCTTTTGGAAAAACAATACGCCATTCGAGTTCACGAAAGGGATTACGTTGTCGCTTGGGCGCATAGCCGACGGGGATGACATGAAAACCAAACGATTCGATACGTCTAATCATGGCACGTGTAGGCCATTGAAATTTTTGTCCCGTCAGCGGATTTGTAGCGATCGGACGCTCGCGTATTCTAAATTGAAATGCACAGTCAGGCCAGTGTTGAGCATTATGGGCCACATAAATAGCGGGTATGAGTTCATAGTATTTTGTGTAGATCGACGAGCCACGATATGTGCCCTCGTCCAACTCTTCAGGTTGTATTTGTAAGCGTTCTGCAAGCTGTTGGCGTACCAGCTCGCCAAAGTAGCGCATAAAATCGCGTGAGTTGAGATAACATTGCTGCAGCATGATTTTTCGTCGCTCCTGCTCAATCTTGTACAGGCGTATTGCCTCGACGGTCTCGTAATCTCGATAGCGCGATTTCACTTTAATTCTACTTTCACTGTAACCTTCAACGCCGCTGTCTTCATCTGCTGTGTCCGACCCGGTATTCTCATCATTTTCTTCCTCATCTTCATCCTCGGTCTCATCATCTTCATCATCATCATTAAGTGGCTCAACGAATTGCGCCAAACTCGCCACACATGAGTCCGGCAAGACTTTGGCATTCAAATTATACTGACCGCTTACGCTCTGCATCCTCAGCTCGGATAGTGGATGATGTGTATTCAAATGTGCTATGTAGGCGTAATCATAATCCGACTCAGTTCGATAGCAGCTGGCTGTACTTGGCGATTTTAAACTGTAATTGCTCGTCGTGCTGTAACCCGAGCTAACGTCGGTGTATAGCTCGGCTTCGTTTACGCCGTTTCTTTGAACTTTCGGTTCTTCGCGTAATTTCAAACGCACATAACCCTTCCATTTTGTCTCGCGCAACATTTCCGCATACTCCTCTTTGCACGGCGTGGTGTGATAGAATTCTGTATCCAGATCCACTTTGCATAACGGTGATATCGAATCGTAATTCGCATCATTCGGACGAGCTATATCGATATTTTCGAATATCACATACATTGCCAGTGACTGGAGTGGTTGGGGATGGTGTTTATCAGGTCCATGGCTAAGGGGAGAAAAATAAAATGAGAAGAAATTTGGGGATTTAAGCTTGAAAACTTGATGTCGAAACCATCAACTAATTTAAATTTTTATACTCGGTTGTGTATTAAGTTTGTTCAGCTAACGGTTGTATATAGAGGCCTAAAGCCATTGAGATAGATATAGACATAGCATACCTATGCTTCTTCATGAAATGACGAGGTCAATCGATTTAGTCAAGCCTATGTGTCCGCCGATAGGTCTGTCTGTCGGTGCGCTCACCATTTCGCCAGCGTACACGATGGCTCAAGTAAGGAAATATATTTTAATGAAACTTTCTTTGGTCGCAAGTACGAACGCCATTGCAAAAGGATAAAATCGGACCAAGTTCTAACCCATCTCCTATATAACGGTAATTTGGAAATGCAGGAAACCCGTATTGTGCTGTCACTTAATGTGCCGTATGAAGTCATATTTGTTTGGGCTGATAGCATTAAATGGAAAAAATATAAAGCTTGGGAAGGTTGGATGATCATGACCTCACTTACTTTTGTATCAAAGATTATATCTCAGAAATCACAAAACAAAGGAGAGGATTCGATAAATTTTAATAATTATAATTTCCATGACCTACTATGGATTAAGAATTGAGGTCCTACCTTTCCTATTTTGACCAATCTCTTCACTTAATACCGTAGCAATATCCGAGCCGAGTATCTAATGTTCGGTCACACCCGAACTTAGTCTCCCTTGTTTTGCGCACAAAGAATCTAAGAAACACAAAGGGACGTTTTTATACCTACACAGGCTTATATTGGATCCATTTGGAGATAGCGGCATCTAATGGTGTTGGTAAGAGTATGGAATGCTCCTCAAGATTCTGATTCAACTCATTCTCTTTGGCTAGCAATTCCTCGGAAATATTTGCTAATTCACTAAAAGCAATTAAGAAAAAATATAGCAAGCAAAAAAATTTAATATGAGCAATAACAAAAATACATTATTTAAAAAATTTTAATAAATATAGAAATATATTGTATTTAAAAATAATAATGAACAAATTACAAAATAAAATATATTACATAAAATATTTCAAAAATATAAAAGTTTAGTAAACTAATAATAATAATAAAATTTTTTTAAAAATGAATATATTATTTTAAATAAAAGTAATTTAAAAAATATACATTTTTATATACATTTTCAAAAAATACTAATAATAATAAAATATGCATAAAAATTATTAGAAAAAAATAAATAATTAAAAACCTTAATAAATATATATGTGATATTTTAAAAATCATATGTGACAGAATATTAATAAATATTAAATATTAAATATATTAAAAATAATAATGATAAAAATATTTAAAAAATTTAATAAAGAAAAGTATATAAAAAATGAGAAATTATATATTATAAAGAAATGTAATAAACCGAAATTAATAATAACAAAAAATTTAAGATATACAGGATGCGCCATCTATGTTTATGTGGTCAAGGGAAACATTGAATAACTTTGACAGATTTCAACCGATTGCGTTCAGTAAAAGCTTTCTGGAAAGGTTATTCCAATACAATTACGTCCATTGAGTGCAATCGTTCAATGGTTGCAACACAGCGTGCAAAAAAGATGGCGCAACATGTCACACAGTGGAGTCAACGATGAAATTATTGCGGCAAAAGTTCCGCGGACGTGTGACTTCGAAAGGAAGGCATATCGACTAGCCACCAAGATCGCCCGATTCGACTGCACCAGACATTTTCTTGTAGGGCTTTTTGACAGGCAAAGTGTATGCCAACCAATCGAAAACTTTGGATGAGATGAAGAACAACATTGGAGCTGAAATCGCTCCGATCTTGCCCGAGATGCTGGCAAATGTCATGGAAAATGCCGAAAAAAGAGCGAAGCTTTGTTTGGACAATGAAGGGGTCATTTGATCGACATTGTTTTTCGCAACTAGCTGGAAAAAATTGTATTGCCTCAAATTTGATAATAAAATAAAATTTATCAAATTGCATTAAAAATTGTTCAAATTATTCAACATTTCCATTGGCCACATATAGACGGCGCACCCTGTATAAAAAAAACAAATTTTTATATATATGCTTATATCTCAAAAAAAGTAATAATAAAATACATAAAAATAAATAATTAAAAATATGAGAATAAATACATATATACATATATATAGATTAAAGAAAATATAATCGTAAAAATATAAAAATATTTAAAGGATTGAATAAAGAAATATCAGAAAATAATTATAAAAAAATTATAAAGTATTTACGAGTATATATTAAAAGAAAATAATAATAATAAAAAAATATAATAGCATATAAAAAATTATAAATAAAAGTATTACAAAAGTATTAATTTAAAAAAATAGCAATAAAGAATTAATAAAATGTACATTATAAAAATTTTAAAATTAAATTGAAAAATATTTTTGTATATAATGATAAAAAAAATCAAAAAAATTCTGAAATGTATAAAACAAGTCTTCAAATATATATTTATACCCAAAAAAAAAGCAATAATAAAATACATAAAAATAAATAATAAAAATGGCAAAAATATAAGAATAAATACATATATACAAACACATATATTTAACGAAAAATAATCATAATAATATAAAAATATTTAAAAAATTGATAAAGAAATAATAGAAAATAATAATAAAAAACATTATAAAGTATATAATAGTATGTATTAAAAAAATAATGATAATAAAGGAATATAATATGCATATAATAATTAATAGTATTAAAGTATTAATTAAAAAATTTATAGCCATGTTAAAAAAAAATAGTAATAAAGAAATAATAAAATATGCATTATCAAGATTTAAAAATAAAAATGAAAAATATATATGTTATAACCTATAAAAAATAATAATAATAAAAAAAATGAAAAAAATTCTGAAATTTTAATAAAAAAGTAATAATAAGGAAATAATAAAAAAATACGTTGTATAAAAAATTAGAAATTTATTTGTAAATTTTATAATAAATAATAATATTGGGAAAATATAATTTACAAAATTTAATAATAAAAAAGTTTGTCAAAATTAACGAGGAAATAGTAAAAATAAATTTGATAAAAATAAATAAAAAAATATTCATATGTGTTAATCAATAAAATATAATATTAATAAAAATTATGGTAATAAAAAATATAATATATAAAAATTTAAAAAATAAGGAAATAATAAAAAAAATAATTTATGTAAGAAAATTAATAAATATATATGAAATTATATAAAAAAATTAAAATAATAATAAACATTAGTTAAGTAGTGCAAAATGTTAGTATGCAATTACAAGTGTGTCATATATACATACACGTATATGCTTGCCCAGAATATTGCACATATCAGATACATATTCTGCGTAATGATAACAATTTAATTGATAACACTTTCCCATTGCAATAATAATTTTTCAGCACTTAACACCCAAGGCCAATTGACAATTGCAATATTTCAAGTGAACTTCCGGTTATCTATTCATATAAAGGAAATACTTCAGTAGGCTTCAGGTTGAAGACGAGACTACTTAAAAGGCACTTGACAACAAATTTTGTTGATAGCGAAATGAATACAAACTCATTCCGTTAAAAAGCGTGAGGTGAAAAATTGCATTATTCTCTCAACTCGGTTTCAATTCAGTGGATCATGGTGGAGAGTTCAGCTTCTTCGACAAAACAAAATGAAAAAATTAAAATAATTTTCTTACATGAGAAATGTCAGTAAAAAAAAAATGTCAATGAAAGTTTTAGTGGCTTTTTGCCTCACCGAACGCTGTTCAGTAAATTTTGTTATTGTCCATTAGCTCATTGAACATCAAATTCTTTGAGGTTTTTACTGCGCCTACAAATTATATTTAACCGCCACTGTGGCTACAGCATTTGCATGAAAAATATCAAAATTTACAGTCACAAAATCGAGGAAGAGGCTCCATGAAAAATCAGTTCTAATCAAAAAAGAAATAAAAAAAACACTCCTCCCGTCAAGTCAGGATTCGTAGCCCGAACTCTGAAGAAGGTCCCCACTTCTGAGATGGCTGTCACATCTACTACTACTTCCATTATTTAAGTTTAAATTACACTCGTCACACTTCAATGATTCTTTATGCTAGATCTCTGAAGTATTTCCAACATAGATATTAAAAGAAATATTAAAAAAAAGATTCCAACCATAAAATGGTGGAAGCGATAAAGATATACAGAAAATAAAGATAGGAAGAGAGAGAAACCACATCTTAGCGAAAATTCGGTGTTCGCTGTTTAAATAATGAATATATATGCAGCTTCCTCTTGGAGTCATGGGCTTCCGTCTCTTGCAACGCAGTTATATTTGTACACCATTCCGCTAAGAGCTTTAGCTTTCAGCAGTTTGTCAAGCTTGTGAGAAGATAACTGAACACAGTTTTGAAAACAAGCTCTTGTTAGACCTTTAATTGAATACTCAGATGAGGGAGCTCGTTCCTATATGCCATCCATCTTCAGTTACCTTGAGCTGAGTTAGGATTCTTTGCTTTTTTGGATAATTGAATAGGCAGGCTGAGCGCCTGGCTGCCTTTAAGCATTTGATAAATTCGTTAGATTCTGATTATGATCATCATCCAATATAAACAATTTTATTTTTATCTATTTCGTAGCGTATACCCCACTTATCTACCATTCATTCACTACCTACTTTTCGTAGTTTCCAAAGAACTGCAACGTCAACGACACTTGATTCAGTACGAATGCGCAGAGATCACTATCCAGTTGATTTTGTATTTGTTGCTCGATTTGACGATTGAACTCCTCCTTGTTTATCTCATAACTGGTGCTTTGTGAATTTAGGCTGTTTGTGCGCTTTGTTGCACTGCCGCTTGCATGCTTTGTATTGGTGATTGAAGTCTGCTTTTCGGCGCTTTTGCCAACACAACCAATAGCAACATTTTTTCCACCTTTTTCTTTTCCTTTAGCTTTATTTTGCCTTTTTGCTTGTTTCTTTTGCAATTTGGCAATTTGTTTCAATTGCTTCTCCTGTTTACGTTTCCGTTGCTCTCTTTTACGCTCCTCAAATTGTAGCTCTTCTAAGGGATTACTGGGCGCTTCCAGTAATTTCGAACTAGACCGACCCATTTTGTAGATTTTTTTTCTTAATGTTTTTTTTTTAATTTATATATGTAAATTTTATATACTATTAAATTTCTGCGACACTTTATATAATTGAAAAATTTACTTTTATTATTTAATTCATTTAAAAAATATATATATTTTAATTCGCTAGTTTGTACGCCTTCGCCACCGATCGTTTCCCAACTGAACTACTGTTCGCTGAAATTTGCAACGATAGCACGTACATACATACATACATACACATGTACATAGATCGTCCGGCAAGATATTGATTTTTTGCTATCTTTTTTATCGGAATTCAATCAAATTTGCTTTTGTTGTTGCTTGAGATAGATGGACTTGCATGTGTATCTATGCATGTACTCGTATGTATGTATGCATGTTGGAGTGATCAGCACACACTATTTGCTTGCAATGCACTTGTTGGTCTTGCATATGTATATAAAGGGTGTTTTTTTTGGTTTTGCTTTTTCTTTTTTAGAAATTTGATTCTCAAGAAGAAATAAAACGCATATAATTTAATGACATGAACACAAATTTATATTTGTTCTTACGGCGGGCGGTTTTAAATATGGTTTCGGTTGACTCGAAAAAGTTTCAGCATAGAGGCCCAATTTTCGGCCCCTTCTTGGGTCGTATGTTGGCAATAATGCGCTGAATATTCCAAGCCGCCAATCGTCTCGGGCTCATCTGCGTATGTCCATCTTGTTGGAAGCAAAGATCGTCCACATCAATATCCTGGAAATCAGGCACGAAAAAGGCAATAAAAATAGCGCTATAGCGTTTCGCATTGTCTGTAATATTATGATCGATTTCATTTTTGACAAAATATGGGCCAATGCCCAATGAGAATGTCCCGGCGTCTCAGCAATCACTTGCGACAATTTTGTTTATTAACGGAGCCATTCAACCAATAGTGAACTTCATCGTGAGTAAAATTTTAACTTGTGAAAAGCGGCATCCGTAGCCATTTTGTTTTGGATCCCTTCACAGAGTTCAATTCTTGCACGACAGCAATTGTGGCTAAGAAGCGTCTCTGAGGATGCGCATTAATCACTGGGGTAAACATGGTTCGAAACCAATCCATGGGTGCTCGAATTGCCCACTCTGCTGGGCGAGGGAAACGAGCTATTATTTTGATTACAACTGTCCAAGATTTGCAAACGTGGTTCAGGATTAAGGAAAAATGAAATGAAATGGAAAGCCAAACTGAGTATAAATCAAGTCGAAAAGTCCAATTTCGAAAAAAATAATCGTCTAAATGAAAACTACACGTCTAAAAAAAAATCACCCTTTAAATACATACATATGTACATGCATAGACTAGGCATCCTCAGTTCCTTAGTTAACAGTATTTGCAGCGCGTGTTAACATTTTTCTTTTTCTTTGTTTGCATCAATTTGATTTGATTTTCTATGTAATTGATAATTTCTGTTGTCACTTCTGTGCTTTTTTTCTTTCTTTCTTTTAATCTTTTTTTCGAGTAGCGAATGCAGGGAAGTAGTCATAAATGTTATGTGCAAATAAGAGGATTTATTGGCTTTTACTCTTGAGTTTAGGTCAATGCCATTCAGTATCAAGGCTAACATCCCTGCAGGGGAAAACCAACTAGTAAGCAAAAACTCTAGTTAAATACTAGTATGTTATAGATGAAATCATACCAGTTCGTTATTTGTAAAGAAGTCCATCGGGAGAAATAACAATTTCCACTACGGTTTGTCATCATCATGATAGCCGAGTGGTTGGAGGTAATGCAAAAAGCAAATAGATTTTTAAGTTTCATTTTTTTTAATATTTGGTGAAAAAGAATTTTTAAATTTTATTAAGTTTTTTTTTTTTAAATTTTGGTGAAACAGAAATTTTTACCTTCACGTGATTCGTATATTGTTTCTGTTTCTAGTATGACACGCCTGAGTTTCATTTCCTAAAATGCTCTATTGAAGTGCGCAGATTTCGTTCCTCCATATATCATAAGGATAGTCTGGTGATTAGAGGCTTTCACCGTGGTGCGTGAGGGTCTCGGTTCGATTCTCGCAGCCGGCAAACTAAATTTTACTTGATTTAGTTTTTTCTTTTTATGTGAAGTAGAAATTCAACATGCCTAAATGAACTAGTATTAAACTAGTATGGAGCTGATACATAGTAGGACAATTGTCAGCTCGTAGGACATCGCTGTGTTAAAATTTCCAGTTGCTTACATGGAAAATGGATGAAGATGAACTAATTGGTGTAAAATTGTAGACTAGTTGGTTTCTAATTGACAACTATTATTTTCCCCTGCAAGGATATTATTGTTATTGCCTGCTGATTGTTGGCCTACGCGCTTATACCTGCAAGGAAAGAAAGCTGGACTTACTCGGTTGTTGATACCAAAGAATTTAGCTTCTCTAACTAGTTTCTCTTGGATTCTTACTATTTTCTTCAGAATTGAGTTGAAGAAGTCGCACAGTAGAGAGTCTTCTTGTGTGGAACACCATTTAGTTTCGAATGACTAGTAGAGGCCCTAGCGAACTCTGACAGGTTGAAATGCTGTTGCCAGTTAGGAGTAGGCGAGATTAGTATTTCGACGGCATCTTGAGGCAGCTCCAGCTCTTTGCATGCATTGGGTGGTGATTGGATTCCGTGAATTGCGTTTAAAGCTTGTCCGTACGCCATAATATCCAACGTATCTTGTTCGAGGTACTGAATGGAGTCCTAGTAGCCGCATACTCTCTTTCCGATGCACCTAAATGCTTGTTGAAGTGCTCCTTGTGATAACAGTGTTTAATTCCACACCAGTGGTGATGAAAAGGATTTGGAGTGACCATGCTGCGAGGTTTTGCTTCATTGATAAACTTAGTCTATTGTAACTGTTGCTCTAAACGGAGTAAATTCGCCATTTCGCCGGGTCAATTCTGGGGTGTAGAATCGTATGTCATGAGAGTGGACAGGTCCCAATCGTCCTGCGTCCGACGATATTCTGCTAAGAAGCTCATACTTGCAACTTATCAGTTCTTTGCCGCCATGCTTGACTTGCTCCTCCGCTTTGTTATTCTCTAAGCAAGCAATCACTATTTCTCCTTCATCGTAGCCAGCAGAGGGAATATCTGAACCATCGTCTTTGGTTTGGGCTTGGGTAGGTTACCTGCTGGTGTTCAATTTTCACTACTATTCAGCAGGCTGGAGAAGTGTTCTCACCATATGATATAATCTAGGCTGCAGTCATTAGATTATCTTCACGGTTTCTAAATAACTATGTCCTCTAGGTGGCAGCAGAGTTTTACGTGCTTATTGAAAACCTCTTTGGTCATAACGTCCTTTACTTCCGTCGGAGCATGGGTGCATATCAGTGATAGTTTGAAGAACTTCGCTCTGATACGGATTGAGTCGAGACGTTCATATAATATATATAAGTGCACTTTGTAACCGCTGGCAAAAAGTTTGAGCTATTGAGCTAAAAAGGCCTTGAAATCGGGTCAGTTTTTAACTGAACGATAAATTCTGTCCTTTCTGAGCTGACGGTCAACTCGTCCGCTTATACGGTTCTACAAATATTCCCAAGCAATAGCAAATCTTCTTCAGAAAAGTTCGTCCAAAGCCTTTATTTATATATTTAAATATTATCTCACTGCTTCTTCTATCTTTGACAGGTGGAGTCCGTGCAATGGACATTCGATAGGCAATCACCCGAGGACCCCAATGGCGAACTGCGTCATTTGGCTGAGTTTCTGGCTAATAAACAGTTCGATATGGTCATAAATCTACCGATGCGCGGTGGAGGTGCAAGAAGGTGAGAAAATAACCAAATTAGTTGAAGATTTCAAGGCAAGAAGCCGTTCTTCGATACCTTCAATTGGTTATCGTTCATATATTTTTCGACTTTTCAACTTTCGATCCCTTCAAATATAATTTTTATTATATATTTCATTGTCTTACAGAGTCTCCTCCTTCATGACGCACGGCTACCGTACACGTCGTCTCGCCGTCGACTACTCCATACCGTTGGTAACGGATGTGAAGTGCACCAAACTCTTGGTCGAATCAATGCGCATCACAGGACGTCGTCCGGCCATGAAGACACACACCGACTGCATGACTTCGCGTCGTATTGTCAAATTGCCCGGATTCATCGATGTGCACGTCCATCTACGCGAACCGGGTGCCACACATAAAGAGGACTTTGCCAGCGGCACTGCAGCTGCTTTGGCGGGTGGTGTAACACTCGTTTGCGCTATGCCCAATACAAATCCTTCCATCATCGATCGTAACAGTTTCCAGCTGTTCCAGGATGCAGCCAAAGCAGGTGCACGTTGTGATTATGCGCTTTACGTGGGCGCTGCCGATACCAATTGGCAGCACATTCATGAGTTGGCATCACAAGCTTGCGGTTTGAAAATGTATCTCAATGACACATTTAGCACACTGAAAATGACCGATATGACTGTGTGGGAGAAACATTTCCAAAATTGGCCGAAACGTGCACCGATTGTGTGCCACGCTGAGCGGCAAACTATGGGTTCAGTCATCCTCATGGCACATCTACTCGATCGGCCCATACATATTTGTCACATTGCGCGCAAAGAGGAGATTATGCTAATACGAGCGGCAAAAGAGAAGGGTATACGTGTCACCTGCGAGGTTTGTCCACACCACTTGTTCCTCTCCACCGATGATGTGCCGGCAATCGGTGATGGACGTGCAGAGGTGCGTCCTGTGTTGTGCTCGCCCGAAGATCAACAAGCATTGTGGGACAACATGAACTATATTGATGTATTTGCCACAGATCATGCGCCGCATACGTGGGAGGAGAAGAACTCCGAAAAACCGCCACCAGGCTTCCCCGGCTTAGAGACGATACTACCGTTGTTGCTGAAAGCGGTCGACGATGGTCGTCTTACACTAGAAGATATACAGAATAAATTCTACCGCAACCCAAAACGCATATTCACACTACCCGATCAGCCCAACACATACATTGAGGTGGACTTGGATGAGGAATGGACTATAAATAGAGAAGAGATGCATTCCAAAGCGAAGTGGACGCCATTTGAAGGCACAAAGGTGAAGGGTAAGGTGCATCGTGTTGTGTTGCGTGGCGAGGTCGCTTTCATTGATGGTGAGGTACTGGTACAACCTGGTTTCGGCCAGAATGTGCGCGCTCAATATGTGCGCAAGTCACTGTTGCAGCAATCAATGGAATCACTGGAAATAAGCGCGTCAACGGATGGACTAGATAAGCCGCACGACCGTAGTGTCGACTTCCTCACCGATTCACAAGCCAATGAGGCTTTCACCAAACTCTTAGCGGAGCCACCGTCGAAGGTGCACTTCGCAGGCGATCCCACTTTATTGCGTCCCATTTCGCCGCTGCCACGTATACGTTGTGACTCGTCTAGTAACTCCACGCTCCGTGACCTATTACCTAAAACTTATCACTCCGTCGCACCGATCAGCCCGATGGCACACAGCTTGCTCAATAAGCACATACTCTCCGTTGACATGTTCTCCAAGGAACATTTGAATGAAATCTTCAATTTGGCTCAAATGCTCAAGAGTCGTGTGGCCAAAGATCGTCCTTTGGATGATATCCTGCGCGGCAAGATCATGGCTTCGATATTCTATGAGGTGAGCACAAGAACCAGTTGTTCTTTCGCCGCTGCCATGCAACGTCTGGGCGGACGCGTTATATATATGGATCAGACCAGCTCATCGGTGAAGAAGGGCGAAACACTGGAAGACAGTATCGCTGTAATGGCTGGCTATTCAGATGTGATTGTCTTGCGTCATCCCGAGCCAGGTGCAGTTGGGGTAACTTCTCGCCTAAAAAACTCTATTAGAATTGCTTTTAACATTTTATTGATTTTCTTCTGTACAGCGCGCGGCGAACCACTCACGCAAACCTATTCTCAATGCCGGCGATGGCGTAGGTGAGCATCCAACACAAGCTCTGCTGGATATCTTTACTATTCGTGAGGAAATTGGTACTGTGAATGGCCTCACCATTACCATGGTTGGTGATTTGAAACATGGCCGCACAGTTCATTCTTTGGCACGCCTTCTCACGCTCTACAATGTCACTTTACAATATGTGAGTCCTCCAAATCTTGGCATGCCGGAGGATATCATGCGCTACTTGGCTACCAAGGGAGTTTTGCAGAAGACTATGAACTCGATGGAAGAGGCTTTACCGACTACAGATGTCTTGTACATGACTCGCATACAAAAGGAGCGTTTCGCCACCGAAGAGGAATATCAAAAGGTAATTGCACAGAAGGAGAGGAAGTGAGATGAAGAAACCCGCGAATTGCATGCAGCCATACGTTAAGTATATACTGATCAAGTAGTCTGCTAGTATTCAGACTTTAATTGTGCCAGTATTAATCAAGTCTCGCAAGGCAGCTTGAACTCTTTATCGGCTAATGTTCGGTGATGATTCCGATTACCATATACTGGCGTTAAGGCCCATCGACAACTCGCCTTGAACAGTGATTCTCTGGTATGGTACTAAGTCGAGCTCGTAAATTCAAGCACTTCCGTGCTGATGTACCTGGGGATGTAGTTGTCCGCAATGGTACTTCCTACACTATCATCGCAGCTTATACTTCATGCAGAGCACTGCAGTATGCACCTCAACTGAGAGTGCGACAATTGGAGTGAGCCGATATCAGAATGTTTCTCTTATGGTGCTCAACGAGGTTCTTTCTCAGAGGTGTGCCTCGAAACTCCAGCGACTGTGTTAGCGTTCATGGGCCGTTTTTAAAATAAAACGAGGGACCTACAATTTGTTCTATGCCGCCTCCTATAGCCGATTGAGGAGATTGATTTTGAATATTGCTCGAATCATAACGCGAGTTCTAGTCTTCAGAATGGCCGTACGCAAAAATAAAGAAGAACTTACAGTACCATTTTTATTTTCTTTGGAATGTGATCTTAACGACGAATGTCATCTTTTGAGTTGGAGTATTCTGAACTTTACATGGGCTCTGGATTTTTGGCAGTAACCTCGTGGAAGTGAAATAAGTTGTAGGTCAAGGAAGCTTATATTAAAGATTAGAAGTAACTTGTATGTTTGCCTCCCGCACCCCGGGCAAACGGCTTATTACACAAGCTGCTGCTAATCCGCAGTTTCTACTTTGAGGGCGAACCTTGTGACTTTTATTTCTAGTTAATTAAATCCCTGCTGACTCCCGTCAGTTATTATCATCTAAATTTCTTTTATTTTCTTCCAGGCTTGCGGTCACTTCGTTGTCACACCGAAACTGATGACGCTGGCCAGCCGTCGTACCATCGTTATGCATCCGCTGCCACGCGTGTTCGAGATCAGCAAAGAATTCGATTCGGATCCGCGTGCTGCCTACTTCCGTCAAGCGGAGTACGGTATGTATGTGCGTATGGCGCTGCTGGCAATGGTTGTTGGTTTGCGGAATTGAAATGCCGACGCAGCCTTCACCGATTTACAACTACATCCTACGCCATTGTGAAATAAAAAGACATTTTATATATGTATGTGATTTTACAAATATTTTTTATATGATTTGTGTAATCTTTTATAACACGTAAGAATAAGTTTTTTTTTAATAAAACTACCTACAATTTGTTGAGAATAAAATAAAATAATAAAAGAATAAAAATCATAATCGTGTTTGTGCTTAAAATAGTTGCTATAAAAATATATTTACTAAGCGCTAAAATGCATTTATAGAGATTAACAGTGCTTATTATATACATATTTACATAGTGTATGTACATATGTACATATGTGTAATCAAGTGTAATTATATAATATATATATCAGGTAATCGTGTGAATGTACATACATATATACATATACATATAAACAATATGTATTGTATTTAATTATTATTATTTCTCATAGATTCTTATTAATTATAAAAAAACAATAACAAAACGAACGAAAGCAGCTTCTAGCGAAAAAAAGCTCTCCCAATCAGTCTTCACATATCCAACAACTAAGCTGGCTACCAAACTTTGAGCATTATCCTGCCAAAGAGCTGCTAAGCTTTCCATGCTCGCATCTAAATTCCCTTCTCCTCGTCAAAGATTTCATGACTTCAGCGCCATTTTGTTGCTTTAAAATCGTTCAATATCGACAGCGGTCTCCTTCGACCGCAATTGCGCATCCACCTCATCACTCCAATGTGTCTTTTTCTTCGGCTTTGATAGGCTGTTCGTCAAATTCACTTCGCTAGCCATAAATGCGGAATTCAGATTACCCGATAGATTGCCCGTAGAAATGACCGAAACACTCGGATTGTATACTGGTGTTGCTGGCACTGCGGTGCCTTCTTCCAGGCTCACAGCCCTCGTATATGTGGTAGAGATAGATGAGCGAGTACTATTTTCATCTAAACTGCAAGGACGTTTGCCAAAGCCAGCCGCCTGGCCATTGTTAATGCGCGGACAGTTTTTACAATGCTTCGCTCTACCGAAGGGAGGGAAGTGAGAAAGAAAAAATAATAATTTAAATGCTTATTTCACAGAATTTTTTATTTTTCAATTTGACTTACTTTTTGCCGCTCTTGCAGCTAACCAGAGATATGAGCACCGCCAGTATTACCATGGCAGCGAATAGGCCTGAGAGACCGGCTATCATAGTCATCATTTCGTGTGGCTCACCATCGGATGTGACTTTGGTTACTAAAAAGAAAAGAGAAGATAAGAAGGTTAATTGTTGTTTAGATTAAAGAAGTTGGTTCTTCAGTTGTGGAAATATACTTTCTTAGCAAATTACTTTTATATGAAGAATAATGGGAAATTTTCACTATGCGCGCCTCCTATGCTTCATTTTCATTTATATTATACTAAAGTCATATTTATGAAATCGGTCTCCATTCTATCTTTTGTTACTGACCGCGGTGTAACCAAATTTATGCTTGACACCGTTGCCAGTTTTCAGCGAGAGTAGTTGTCATTGATTAGTCGCAAAGGGTCTGTCTAGCGCACCTAAGAACTAATGGATATCAAGTCGCCAATTGAAGAGCAAAGTTTTGTATGTTTTCTTTTGAGATTAAGCAAAGCAATATTTTATGGTATAACCGATTTTATGGCTAGCAATGTTTTTTGTGTAAGATGATTATGAGCAATCTACTAGGGTAACAGAATTAGGCAACAATTTCGGTTAAGCGATATTTCATATTTGGCAATATTTTATGTCTACCACAAATTTTTATGGCTTAACATATATTATGGCTAGAAATATCTTTTGTTTAATATGACTATGTGCAATCTATCAAGATTACAGTATTAGGCTACAATTTCTGCTTAGCGTGATTTTAGATCTGGCAATATTTTATGTTAGCAAATTTAATGCGCAAAAAAATAGCAATAATCCTTTTATGTTTTTTTTTATATTATTTGTACTTTGTTATGTAAGCAAAAATTTTATGGTTTGCAATAATTTATATCCAATGAAATTTTATGTTTGCCAATTTGATGTTTCGTTGTTAACAATTGAACCAAATTATCCAAATTTCTTATTAGTATTTAATATAAATATGCTCAAAGTTTGTGGTTAGTAAAATTTTTATGTTTTGCAATATTTTGTCCCAATATTTGAATTTTGCACATTTTTTGTTTGACAATATTTTTGGTTCAGTGTATATGTTGACAAAAAATATTATATATTAGTATTTATTTTAATATTTTGTGTTCTAAGAATAGCTATGTTTTATTTGTCATAATTTTTGGATCAATGAAAACTATTCAACATTAAACAAAACATGTGTACAGCTATAATTTATGTTTGCGATATTTTATGTTTGACAATTTATTTTTGCCATCAAATTGTTTTGTAACAAAAGATTTTAATGTTGAGAATTATTTAACATTGAACAGAATTTATGTCTAGACATAATTTATGTTTAGCCACATTGTTTTTCTTTTGTTGTGTTCTTTCTTTTTGTCACCATTATACAAAAAATTTGTCTTGCCATAATGTATGTTTAGCCACATTGTTTAGCACATTGCTTAACATAACTGAATTTTTGTCACCATTTCTTTTGATCAAAAACAAAATGTAATTTAATGAAAACTATTATTGTATATTGAACATAAAATATGTCTTACCACAATTTATGTTTACCGAAATTTTTTGTTTTGCAACTTCTTTGCTGGCGACATTCTTTTAATCGAAATCGAACAGGAAAATTATTTTACGTTAAATAAAAAATATGTCTTGCCATAACTTATGCTTAACTCAAGCTTGTTAGATTTTAATCTATTTTTTACACTATGAAAAGTGTTAATCCTAACTTGGCCTAACTAACGCAGTAATTCGTTTCCAATTTAACGGCATTTTAGCCAATATTGCGTTTCAATTTTTTTAACGTATTTTTATAAAGTTTTGGCTCAAAAGTAAGGAAAAGAGTGTGTTTTTAGCTCACACAACAGGTTTAACCAATTTTAGAAAAAACTTCTCACTAATTTTGGCTAGAGATTGAAGTTAATTAATTATCACATAATTTTGTTAAATTTGAATATATCAACACTATAAAAATGTTGTATAATTAACATAATGTAAATGTTTTGTTTTGATTTGAATGAAGGTCTTATTTATGCAATTTTTTTTTTGTTTAATAATGTTGTTTAATTCATAAAAGCTCAACCGCCTACAAGCGCAGAGGTCAAAAAACTTTTTTTTATTGCATAATTTATCATAACATTTATGCCGTTAGAAATATATATGCACATACATTTTTATTACATATTTAATTAATTAATAATGACACATGCCAAACAATTAATGCAAATTTTATCGCTTACTGAATTTAATTAAACTAATCAAATATGTATTTAGAAATGGCATAGTGATTAATTGCAAGTGAGTACAACAATTATAGGGCACGTGAAAAACCGTAGTAAAATATACAAAAATATTCAATGGAAAATATGCGCCATACATATTCAGCCATGCCATTCAACAAGTGAGAAGCGTATTTATATACATACATATATTGTTTGTATTGTATATTATAAATGCTTACATATTTTTAGTAGATATATTATATTTAAATTATCTATTGTAAATATATATTTTGTACACACCCTTTTTACGGTGCATGCACCTCACTCGTGGCTGGCATTTAGTTGTAATTGGGAGGGTATTTTGTCTAATTGTTTGCTTGCTCTATGTCACATTCGCGATAAATTACATCAGTTTCCTGATCGGAACTGCATTTAAGTACAAAAAAATTAAAAAAAAATATATAAACAAATGAAATTACAAATATAGCAACTATCTGCTTGAGGGCTTGGAAATGTGCAATTTATGTCTTGACAGCTTAGTTGAACTTCGTCTTATTTCTGTCACATCAATGTGTATATTGGTCTAGTAAAAATGATGGATTCCATTTTTGCATTTAATTGAAGGTTTTTTCATAGTTAGTTTTTCATAGTTAGTTTGTTTGTCCTTCTGAAGGGAATGTCATTATGGCTCTCTCATAGAAACTGTTCTCTCTTCTTCTTCGTTGGCGTGGCCACCGCATATACAATTATAGACGAATCAATAACAGTTGGAGGTAGGAAAAGAAACCAGATTGCCGTCTACCTGATCTTTCCAACATAGTGGAGATCTTATCCTTCATCTGTTTCTCCCGATGAGTACTGCAACGAATACTTTCAGATCTGCAGCTTAGTCAGCTTAGCCGCTGTCTCTTTAATCGTTGAACCAAATGGATACCTCGTACAGCTCATCGTTCCATAGTCTGCGGCATTCGTTGTAGTCAATGTGCAAAGGATATCGAAACTTTAGCAAAACGTTTGTCTCGAAAACTCCTTACGACGACTCATCAGATGTTGTCATCGCCCATGCTTCCGCACCATATACAATAGTAGGACCGATATAATGAGCGGCTTACAGAATTTGGTTTTCGTTCGCCGAGAGAGGATATTACTTTTTAATTGCCTGCTTAGTCCGAAGTAACATCTGAGGGATTTCAAGGCTGATAGTGATGTTGGTGATAAGACTGGTCCCAAAGATAGCCGAAATTATCACCGACCTCGAATTTATGACTGTCAAGAGTGACGTGAGTACCAAGCCGTGGATGCGCTCTCTGCTTGTTTCATAACAGTAGATAATTCGTCTTATCCTCATTCACTACCAAATCCATTCTCTTCGCTTCTTTGTCAAGTGGTTGTTAACGTTGCCAATGTCAACGGCATACGCCAGCTGTTGTACACTCTTGAAAAAGATTGCAGTTTGTGAATTTAGCTGTACAGCTCTATTATTTCTCCAGCATCAAATTGAAGAACGATTTCAATAAAGAGCCACCCCGTCTGAAACATCATTTGCTATCGAACGCTACGGAAAGATCCTTCCCAATTCTGACTGCGCATTTGGAAGTATAAGTTTGCAGACTATTGTCCAATCTGTTTTCACAGGTTTCTCTTGAGACCAATTCTTCACCAGCCAAATTGGAAACAGATCACTTGATGCGGGAAGGATGAATAAGAACCTCCCAACCAAGCACTCGGAGCTTCTGACGAGTTGCTATCACTGTGTGTGGTCTGGCGTTGTTCTGAAGAAACATAATTCCCCTTCTGTTAGCAAAAGCTGGACACTCTTGTGCTATAGCTTCTTTTAGGCGGTCCAATCGCTATCGATATAGGTCTGATTAAAGACTTTTGCCGCAGAGAAGAAGTTCATAAAAATGTTGCATTGCCAATCCCTCCAAATGTACATTAACACCAATTTGGCTGCCGATCCCAGTTTGTATTGGCTCACTGGCTCTCGGCAAGGAGCGTTTTCGTTGACGTTGATGCATGTGATACACTTTTCATCTCTAGTCACCAACCAATTCAGAAATAGATCGATTTGGTAACGATTCAACAGCGATTCGCAGCTAGAGTTCAATTCATGTGGTCTTTTCTCGTTGAGTCATACATCGAGCTTCTTTGTGCATCTAGACTTTTTCAAGTTGTACCAAGTTATTTTTGTGCAATCGAAACAGTGCTCGCATGACGATTTTCATTACTTCATCGACAATTGGCATTCCACGGCATTTAGCGTCTCTCTCTTCAAATTACCGGAACGATGTCGACAAAATCAAAATAGTGATTAGGTGTTGCAGTATCAGTATCAAACACTTAGCTTTTTTAGTACAAAAGAGAATTTTTCAAACACCCTCTAGCGCAATCCAATCCCACTTATAGAACGCAAGAGACAGATCTTTAAAGCCACCTTTTGTCGGAAATTTAACTCACTTTTAGCTTTCTCGTTGACAAGTGACGATAAAAGGTGTTCGCTTTTGACATTCTAAGTTGTACTTGTACTTGTAATTATGCGTACACAACGGTATTAATGCGTGACGGAAATGCGTTTCAAAGTGAAAGTTGTCACAGGCGAGGCCTTCGAGCAACAGACTATTTTTAGAAACAATTAAATTCATTTCCTAATTTTACCATTAGCAGCTGTGCTTTATTGGAGCTGCAGAAACATACACATAAACATATTATATATATATATGTATATATATGTAAGTAAGATGTGAGAGCTACTTAACATTTTCTTTCGCTTTTAAGTGGATAGTAGAACTTAAGCCTCCAACCTCCGACTGAGCTTGTTAAAATGATCAACAAAAGAACATTTCCTTTTTGCCGTTTTTAGAAAGTCAATTTGAAATATTAGATTGTAATTACGT